TCACCGCTGCGGACGACGGCTGGTCGCAGTACGTGGCCATGCACGACTCGGTGCTGTCGCCGGCGGAGGCGCGGCGGCTCGTGGCGACCGAGGGCGGCCCGGACCGCCGGCTCGCGCACTTTTACGCCCTCTGGTGCCTGCGCGAGGCGTACGTCAAGATGACGGGTGAGGCGCTGCTGGCGAGCTGGCTCGGCGAGCTGGAGATGCGCGGCTTCGCGCCGCCCGGGGAGGGCGAGGACGAGCTCGAGGTGTTTCTGGGGCCGGCGGGCGGGGAGAAGGTCACGGATGTGGATTTGCGCATCGAGTGGTTTCTCGGCAAGCAGTACATGATTTCGACGGCGGTGCGGAACCCGGACCCTAGTGTGCCGCTGCCGCTGGGCACTTTTGAGTTGCTTAATCTTGAGACGATTTTGAGCAAGGCGGAGGAGCTCGAGGCTACAAGATAGAAATGGGGGAAGCATTGTGAGACAGGTAGGCAATTGTACTCATGGCGCTGATGGAGTACTCCGTAAAGGGGCTGCAGACGTTGTGAGACACGCGGTTTACTGCTTTATATTTCGGGTCATATATTCTGCTTCAAGATATATCTGGTCCTTTGCAAGGTCCCTCATGCGCTAATCGCAGAAGATCTCCCCCATCATTCTGGACAATCTACAGGTGCTTGCCAAAGAACTGCAGCAGGGTCTTGTAGCCACGCTCGTACTCGGCCTTGACGCGGTCGTCGCTGAGGTTGGCGCGGGCTGCCATCCAGCCGTGGATCTGGTCGGCAAACGTCTCGATGTGCTTGGGGACGGTAAGGGCATCCTCAAACTTCTTGACATCCTCGGCGGGCTCGTCGCCCGACGCAAGCAGAATAAAGGGGACCTTGATACCGGGCGCGTCGGCGGCGTCGACCATGGCGGGGTGCACCGAGGCAGCAACGGCAAACGGGTTGGAGGACTCCTTGGCGGCCAAGGCGACAGCCTTACCACCCCAGCAAAACTATAGCATCCAGAGTTAGCACTTTCGTTTCCATGTCCATGATTTCGACTCGTCGCAGATCGCATGTGTGCTTACGCCGAGGACGCCGGTGGCAGCGATGGAAGGGGTCTGGGTCTTGATCGCTTGGACGTAGCCCGGGAGGGCGGTCGAGGCGCTGGTTGGAGGGTGCTTTCCGAAGAAGGCGCCGAGGTCTTTTTTCTTCTGCTCCGTGTCGGGAGGGTACCTGTATCAGTGTTGGCGTTGAAGCGCGCTTCCGGTGAGGGCAAATGATTTGTATCTCATACCACTCAATCGGGCAAGGCTCGCCCTTGAAGAAGTCGGGGATGTAGACCTTGTACTTTTGCTCGCCGCTGTGGGCAAGAATGTCCGCGCCCTGGAGAGTCTGCTCAAAGTAGCCAAAGATGTCGTAGATGATGACGATGGCCTTGCTGGCGTCGGCGGGGCCGGTGACGTCTTGGGAGCATTCATTAGCATCGCGACCGGTGAATAAACGGCTAGTTTGTGTCGAATATGTTCTGGAAATAGAGGGGTCGGGATTGACTGTACGTACAAGTCTTGTAGCCGCCAACTTCTTCGTACTTGCCCTTGGCCTTGTAGCCCTTACTCACGATTGGGGGCAGGTTGCAGCAGGCCGCGGAGTGACCGGAGGTGGCGGGCATAGCAGACATGATGAAGGGTCTGCGATGATTGTTCTGTATATAGACTGCACCAGATGGTGCTTTCGGCTTAGCGGATAGGTTCGTAATGTACTGGGCAATTCGGTAGTCGCAGAGCCGGCGTCGGCGCGGGGTGAAACCAGAGTCCACCGAAGCGGGCAGCTCTTCTAGAGTACATACCTTCAAGATCTTGGTATAATTGAATTGAGAAGTTGAACCTCGAGAGAAGAGGACGAGACCAGGGGCTTAAGAAGGGGAAAAGGTGCAAAAAAAAAAAGGTCGCACCCGTCGATGATGGTGATCGAGGGAGCTATGGTGGGGTTTTGAGGGGTTACCAAGTTGGCGGGGCCTCGGGAGTGCGGCTTGATGATGTCACTCGATTCATCCGGATGGCGGCAACTTTGATCACAACATCGCTTTGTAGAGCTATTATGGATAGCTGCTGTAAAGCTGTACTTTCTACGGGTTTTATATGGATTTACACAGTATTACAAGGTTTGAATCGGAAGCTTCCCCGCGATGAGCAGGTGGGGTTAATGCAAGCCACATGAGCTTCCTTGCGCAACATCATAGAGATCACCTGTTATTATTATTTGGGTCTTGTGTTGCCTCGATCGAAACAAACCATATTGTTTTGACTAGTCGATGCCTACCAAAGGGTTTCAGCCTCTATACGTGTGACAAACGCAATACTGGCCATGTGCCCTTGCCGAAATCGTGGTACTAGCAGGAGGAGGTGAATATAGTGGAAAGAATAAGAATAAGCAGATAATAGTAAGAAGGGAAATTACAACAACAGATTACGGAATATCGATAGAGTTCGAGATGTCTTGTCGTTGGGAAGTGGTTATTTTGTCAGTCTATTTGTCATGTGCAGGGTGGATATGATTGATTCCTTGGACCTGTGTGTTTTCGCGCATTTTCTGGAGTAGACGTGCCTCTGACAAGATCGGCCACGATAACGCCTTTTTGAGTAGAATACTGGATGGTTATGTGCTCTTGGTGAGGTGGGCCGTCGAGGGCGAGTCTCTAGGTCCCTTTCGTGTGAGACTACGTGAAACTGACGTCTTCTTGCTGCCTTTTACCGTTGTCAACTTCCCATGACTCGTGCGGCTGTTTGTTTTACGTAAACAGCATGATAATGAACCACAGTCGTATATATAGCTGGTAGAGCTCAGAGCGAGCAGTTATCCGTGAATTGGGTTCGTTTCCGTAGCAAACACGCTCCCGCTTCACCAGTCATCAGCAAAGGGAATAGTCAACAGTGGTCGCCCTTTCTGGGCTTCCGCGTACAACATGTGTTCTGTAGAGATTATTTTGCACCTCCCAACTGTTCCGACGAGTAGCTCCTCAATGTACGATACTTCTTCGTTGGCACAAACGTGCTCCCGGACGCCCCCCGACGTCGCCGCCCAGAACGCCACCGTCGCCCATGAGAGAACAAGAACCCGAATCACGTCAGAGTTCTGCGCGTTTGTGTCTCACAGGATACTCCATCTTGTCAGATTTGAGTCATGTTATTGTAGGACTTATAAGGGGCCATCCGTGCTTCTCACGTCGTTTCGAACCATGGGACAGGAGGCTCAGAGGGCGAAGGAATTCGCCACAACCAGTTAGCCCTTACTTTCTGTCCACGCTTCATTTTCCAAGGATGGCACAAAAGCCCTCGAATGACTGCCCAAGTCTGTTCCAGTTGTTCCGTGGACGATTGAAGAAGGAGGCGGGTTAGTGACGAGTCTTAACTCCTTCCCTTTGGTGAGGAGACGCGTCGTCGAAACATGGCACTGCCGAGTTTTCTTCCGAACTCTCCGACTTTTACTTATTTGGAATTATCGGGTCAAAGAGAGACCGTGTGTTCAATGGGAACCGTGCGATCAACCTCAATCCCTACATTCAATGTTTGGCAGTACGGTGTCGAAATAAGCGGCGTCAAAGGTGGTTAGTAGCACGGGTGTCTATTGGACCGCCTGCGGGGTAGCAAAATCTGATTGTGCAAGTGTATGAGCTCGGCCGTACTTGTTTTGGTCCTTGATTTCGGTCCCTCCAGGAAGCCTCGCTTAGTCCGGACAGGTGATGGTTACATCTCGTGGCTGTCAACGCGAAGACGGAGCTAATGCAAGGCGCAAAAGTTAGACGAGAGGCTGAACCTTGAATGGCCAAAATACCATGGCGGAAATAGCATTTCAGCTGGCGCCAGTTTCCCTGTTTCCCCATCTCCTCGGGCGAGATGGACCGAGCACTACTGACAGGCGAGGAGAAAAAGAGGCATAGCCAAAGCAACCAAGTGGTCGGGAATTGAACCAAGCTGGGCTAGGGTAGCGCATCCAACAATGGCTCGGTGGGGGAGTGGCGCGGAGTTGCAGGTGGGATTGACACGGGGGGGAGCCGAACGGTGGCGTCTGATGGCGGACCGAGAGCAAATTTGCAAGTATTTATAATGACGAAAGAACAGGCGAGACATTCATACCAGGAAATGAACGTGGACAGCTGGGGGGAGCCTGTCGCCGTTGAGGCTTCCGTCAAGTAGCAGCTAACTACCTAGCCGGAGAAGGGTCACGGCAAAGTTGCTGGTACCAGTAGGTTGCTTCAGGCCGGTCTTTCGCCGTACCGTACCTTGTTTCAAGTTCAGGAAATAGACGTGCTGCTCCTAACTCGTACTCTGTACTGAGCTAACGGCTCGGTGGTCGCGGTTGAGAAAGAAACTCGTCACTTTTCCCAAGTGGAGAGGGGGGAACAGACGAATACCCGGTTTGCTGGTCACAGTCCAAGAAAAGCTTGGTCTTCTCTGTGTTGTGTGGGTTACATGGCGTGGGAAACTGACAGTGCCGGAATGAACGAGTCGACCCTTGGCTTCGTGCATTGTGTCCAAGGGATGTGCGGGCGTAGCGCAGATGCGTGTGCGTCCCAACCGGCATGATCCCTTTGTTTCATTTATCGGTATCGAAGGGGGTTCGACGCGCTGAGGGTTTCCCCGCGGGCAGGGCTGATAACCGCCGCCAGGCGATCACAGAAACAACTTGGACGTAATTTCGTCAGGGCAACAAGCATCCCCTACATCGAAAACCGGAGGTGCGCAGGGCCGCGTCCACTGGCAAGTCACCGGTTTCATTGCCACTTGGAACCGATGGTCTCGTTTGGTTCAAATGCCGAAGAAGCAGGCGCGAACCTTAGAAGAGGAAGAGGAGAGGGCGCCGAAAGGAACTGGGTTGAGTGAGTGGTTTCTGCTCATGTGCACCACCGCGGCGGATGCTCTTTTTTTTTTTTTTTTTTTCGCTGTACCGCAAAAGGCGCTAGCCAAAACCCTGGAACCATGCCAATTCTGCTTCATCCGTTCGGGTCCTTTCGCTTGGCTCTCGGTGCGCTGCGCAGGGGAGTTAAACTAACATCTACCCGCACAAACTAGCGATTGTATTATTAGGTGTAGTTGGGTAGCTGGTAAATACGTACACACCCTGGCAGCGTTGGTGATGATCATGTGGCCTCGACGTGCTGTGGGCATCTGGCAAAATCTGGCAAAGAACCGAGAACGCCCACTTTCTACTCGCCACCGCTTTAATTTAATAGTTATGGAGTTGTGGAGGCTGCCAGATCAGAGTGGTCTGGAAATCCGTTTTTATTTCTCTCCAGGAAGACCTCCGCGTGGGCTCACAACCCAGGATTGCATCTATTGACCCTTGCAACGTCTCGGCCAAGGCCCATTACGATAACGCAGAGTCTGCCAGGGACTAGATTGGAGAGGCTTCGAGGCGATTTTGAGGGTGGCTTTGGCCCAGTCTGTCTGTGTTGATGCTTGAAGAACAGCGGCGCTTCCGCTTCAGACAGCATCTCAGTCCATGTACGATAACTCCGAGTTGTCAAGATTCCCGCTGTGATGCACGGCAATTCTCGGTCGTGAACGCGCTTCAGTCGCATCTTCCAAACCTGGTGCGCCGCAAGGGCCACAATCATCCCAACCCCATGCATGCAGGTTGTCTGCTGAAGCCCCTCCAGACCCTTGTCCATCCACCTGCCATATCCACCATGCATAGATGCATGGGCGCGCATGTACATATGTAGTTGCTTTGTCAATGTCATTCATTGCATTCGTGCCATTGCGAAGCCTGGGAAGAATGCGTTCCAGGCGTCTTTGTTGTAATTGGAAAACGAGCCGTGGACGGGCATGCATGGCTCGCTGAGCGCGCCAAGCACTGGGCGCTACGCTTATGGGGGAAGATACTTGAAAAGAATGGTTTTGATTGGTACATGATTCATATCTAACAGAGCTGCCCATTTCACTTGTGGCCCGTCAAACTTGGCCGGCGGAGGTGATGCATCTCAAGTTTCCAACGTATTGATTCTCCTTCCTCTTGCCCTAACAGCAAGACAGAATTCGCATTTCGCCGTCTCCCCCATTTCCATAACCCTGCGCCGCGGGGTTTGCCAAAGACGTGTATCGTGTATCGTGTATCCGTGCCGTCTTGTGGTGTGGTCAGTGGAGGCGTCGCCGATGCCTGACCATGCCTGCATAGACAACCCTGCCTACGTATTGCATCTCGATACGCAGAGGCCATCACGGTGGGGGGTGCAACCTGGGCGTTTCCGATGCCCCCGCTTGCCTGCATTTTTGCCAACAACATGTGAAAAACCCTTTGACGGACTCGCACCGCCGAACAACAGAGGTTGGGTTGGCAAGGCTGTCGCGGCCCCAGCGCACCTGAATTGAGGGCTTGTCAACCGTGACTTCCATGACCCTGGCCCTTTTGGTCGCTTGACTCTTTCCCAGGCCCCAACAATCAATCATAAGTAGCGCACCAACCACACCAGGCCGCTCTCGGCGCTGGAAATCATGCTTACAGGGGTTGTCTCAGGTGGCGCTTTCCCATGGTCATCGCCAGTCTCCAGCTGGGCGGGAGAGAGGGCTGCCAATAGTTTTGTAGTAGTCATAGATACGAGGCTTCAGCCAATTGGCCGTGCTGGCTCGCTGCCAGCTGAATCTCGTATACTTGGTAGGTCCATCTTGTTCGCAGGCAGGATATGGGGACCGTCTCGGCTTCAAAAACGTCGTGTAGGGCTTTGTACATTGTAAAGGCGCCCTACAGCCATCATTGACTCTGTGTCTTGCATGACAGCGCCGGCGCTCGTCAACATTCAACAATAGGTTGCCAGAATCGTCCAGGCTGGTGTGCCTCCGAGTGGTCGCCAGCGACGGCGCACTTGGCGCAAACGTGGTTGGGTGAAAGGGATGGAAATGCGCAATCACGCGCTGGTAATGATATCGTTTCGTTCTTCGGTTCGTGTCGCGTTCGAACCGTTTGCCTGTCTGTCACGTAGGCGGACAGGTGTAGCCAGCCGCTCCCCTCGCGAGGCGCCGAGGTGGCGGCGGCATAGTTGGACGAGGAAAGCTCAAGCTAGTCGCAAGGCGTTCCGCAGTAGCCACAGCAGCGGCCTGGAATCACCCAAACTTCTTTGCCGGCCAGGGCGCAGGTCGGGCATCTGGTGCCGGGAATCTGTTGACACGCGGAAGCGCGGGTCAGTCCAGGGATTCAAGGTAGGCGCATGGTGTCGCATGCTGCATATGCGAGCCATGTTGGTTGGATAGAACGTACCTTGGGTCCAAAAGACAAAACACCATCGATATAGGTTGCTTCAAGCATCGCAGGAGCGTTGCGTGGCACACTCTGCTCTTCCCACCCAGGGCAGGGTTCGCAGGGAAGGGTTCTGGCGAGGCGGTGGGGTGGAACCATTGTTATAGGTGATGTCAGAACAACGAAATGGGTTGTAGTGGTGAGAGCAACAAGAAAGTTTGGAGCAGAAAAGTACAGGTTGTAGAAGAGACTGGAGCAGAAGAGGTAGGCAGCGAACAAGAGTTTATAAGATCGAGAAGTGCAAGATTGCAGGATGTTGAAGTGATTTCTCAATGGCTTGCCAGGTAGTTCTGAGATGCTAAGGGAGTGGGGGCCGATGCCATTTATGGTTTTGCGAATTGCGACTAAAAGCAAATAAAGGGTGTACAGAAAATGAGAGGGAAAAAAAAAAAAAAAGGCGACGAGGATTGGCACACGGCCTTTTCGGGTCATTAAGCGCGGTGGAACCCAGACTTCTGGGACAGACAGGGCGGGCGTGACGGGAATGGGCGACCCAAGACTTGGGGATTGAGTGGACTGGCCATGGTATCTGACGATCGGGAGCCAGGCGGGCGGCCGAGGTCTCGGGCGGTTCTACGAGCGGAGCCTAGAGTCTGGAGCAGAGGTGTGTGTCATCTCACCTGTAACCAGCTGTAGGTTGTAACTAACTACTGTAGGAATATGTATAGGTGTGACTGTCAGACTGTGAGACGCCAGGTCATTGGCGAGGACCAGTGTAGGAAGCAGACGGATACTGGTGCGAGGACAAAAGGCGGTCATGGTGATGCACCAAGTTGCACCGGATGAGATTGTGTCTGCTATATTGCGATGTGTGTTGCTCGATCGCCTGTGCATCTTGGTGTTACGTATACCCGAAAAGCTGGGAGCGGCCAAGGTTGCGAGCCGCAGTCGCCTGCAAACCATGGGCTTGTGCCGCATGGTACTGCATGTATGATGTATGATGATGTTACGCAGATCTTTGTACGGTTAGAAGGAGAGACCTTGACCCTAGAATCCGGTCCTACGGGATGGTCGCATGCACGCCGTGCAGCAGTCACAAACACGACCTCAAACACGCATACGATGCTGCTAGAGAACATGTTGAATCAAGAGCAATGAGGAAACAGGCAACATGCAGCACAGCTGGGGCAGCTGGGGGGGGGGGGGTGTGGTGGAAAGAGAGAGTAATCAACCGCGGTGATTACTCCTTTAAGCCGACCCGTCACGGATCTTTTGTATTGCTTCTGGCCCCCCATTTCGGGTTGTATGAATAAAGGCTGAGAAATCAATTGGGTGCAAAGAAGACAAAACAACCTGTTTTGCCTTGAATGCGTGAGAAGAAGGAAGATTGGAGATATGACCAGGGTGCCGTACATCAGCAAGTGGATAGCACGACCAAATGCTAGGGAAAAGAGGGCTTTGCAGCTGCACGCCTACAAGCCTCAAAAAGCCACCATGGGGGGAAGACCAACCGAATGCTCCATATTGGCTCTTTTCTTGTGAGGCAAGCCGCATTATTGGTCTGCCGGGATATTGACATACCGGTACCAAACTAGCTCGGGGGGTTGTCCACTTGTCCAAAACCCCCCCCCCCCCCCCTGTCCAGTGTTGAAATGCGGAAACAAGCACGGCGAGTAGAGGAAACGAAAAAAAGCCCCAATGCGAGACATGAACAATGAGTCGAGAAAGGAAAAATGGCGAGGTAAAAATAACGCCAGACAGGGAGGGATGAGGTCATGTCGGCGTGCAAAGTCACAGCTGAGGGTGGCATTTTGGAAATGTCATGGCCGCGCTCGTTGGCTCAGCCTCACTATGTATTGGCACAGTTCTTCTTGTGCTGTTTGTGATGCCAAAGGAAGACAGTTGCAACTTTCTCGTCATTAGTCTTACATGGTAGTCGACGGGGCGATTGTTCGAGGTGGCTTCCACTCCGCCGATCTCTCTTCCTTTTTTTATTACCGTCTCACCGAGTACCAACTCCATTCAAGAAGAAGAAGTCGAGACCTTTTTTTGGTCCTGTTTCTCGCAACTTTGTCTCGCAACAGTGCAACAATCTCCATGTTGCCCTGTGGCGTGCTCATTGCACACGGGCTTTGTGTTGCGTACGCGCGAAAAAGCCAACATCCGGTCGCCGAAGAATGACGGGAGGAGGGGTGACAAGGGGTCTTTTGGTGAGAGGGGGTGACGAGAGAAAAAAGCCTTGCCCGCCGGGGTCTTGTATTTTTCTAATCCTCTTGTTGATGACAATCGTTCAAGTGCGAGCGAGCGCTCTGTTCGGCGCACATTGCCCCTTGCGGTTGACACCCCACTGCGTCTAGAGAAGGCGTTGGCGTAGTCAAGATGTCGAAAAGAATTTCTAGCACTAACTATAATAAATGCCGTTCCAAGCATGGCATGTTGGCTAGATTGCCGGTCCGACTGATCAAAGGCTAACACGCTCGGTTCGGGCTGCAGACCAAGTAGGTAAGTAAATGGTCTTTTTTTTTTTTCGCCACAAACCGACAACAAGGTTTCTGTAAGACGACGGCAAACAAATATGTTTCTCACTAGCTTGTTTACGCCACTATCAAGACCTTCTTGTTTATTAGTACATGACCGCAAATAACTCACCTCAACTGTGCCTCCCGTGTCGCATCGCGGAGCCACTTGCCAAAACTGGGAGCGAGGACAGCAAGAGTTGCAACTACTACACCACCACCACCACCATCCCACCACCATGGTACTGGGTGCTTTCCAAGCCCTACCTCGCTAGCCCCCCCTCCATCAAGCCCAGCTTTTGAAGAGGGATGTCAACTGAAGGGTGTCAGATCCTAGCAGCGGGGCGGCCTTGAAGCATCGATTGGGTATCAGAGCCCCAACCAAGCACTCGGGAGAGAGCAAAGCTGCCAACGGACGAGAGCGGTAGGGGGTGTGTGGCTCCTGTAGTGACGTTATTGGCGTCGTCTTTTTTTTTAGACGGGGGTTGCTTGCATCCGCCTGGCTGCGTTTTGGGACGGATGATGCAGTTGCCGTGCTTTGTCCGAATTATTGCAGTACGAGTAAGTTGACTCGTGGGAAACTGCAGATCACGGTACCCAAGCTTAGGTACAGTAAGAGCACGAAAGAGCAATACGAGCAGTGTGTCAGTGAATAGTCAGATCGAATTGAAAGGGTTGGAGTTAGTGGCGGACGGCATGACCGTCATCACCAGTCTCAGCTCAGGGTGACTCTGAGCAGCAAATGCAATTGCCGGTTCCCTGCTTTGCTCATTTTTGATAATAATAAGCCATTCTGAGTTCCTAGGTCATTCGTGCGGCTGCTGGGTCACAGCCAATGATGGCAGTATGGCGCACAAATGATTTTCTGTTGCTAGGTACTAAGCTGACTCCGTACAGTGGCTCGATGCAGCCCAAGTGGCATTTTTCGCGAGGGCCTTTCGTGTTGAATCACTGCACCTTTCCCGATGTCAACCATCCAGTTCATCTGCATACAGACCCAGAAAACCCATCTGCCACCAGGAAGTCCATGTCGAAATAAATAGGGCGGCTGTCTACCTTTACCTATAGGATGGACTAACGTTGGTAGGACCACAGTGCGACGCCAGCTGGCATGCAAACGACCCCCGAGTCAAAAAAGCTTTCCCCCATTCCCTAGAAGAAGCGACTGTACAAAATTCCAAACTGCATCAAGAGACATGCCCATTACTTTGACCAATCTGCCATGGTCCGAACACGCAGACCAAGCATCGCCTGGAATGCGGCCCAGCCTCGCCAAACCAACACCACCCGGCTCAGACAGAGGGCAGGGGATTCTCGAATCCACAGCACCCGTCTCTTGTCAATGTCTCAACAGAGCCCTTCGCGTTTCGCCTGATGTATGCCCGATCAACAAACCCGATCACCGCCCAGATCCGTGCGAGACCAAGACGTCGCACAAGATTATACAGCACCCAAACAAAAAGCCCTGTTGAACTTGTTCGACATTGCCTCTGCAGCCTTGTTCCTCTTGAGTCTTGCAAAAGCACGAGGTGCAGGGATTAGTCTTCCGCAAAACTTCGGATGCAGGCAGTATTCTTAAAAAAAAACTCGGTTGCTGAAGGGTCGCAATTCTTTGAACAATCGCCGATTGGTTCGGCTTGCAGCTCCTCCGCGACCTACATTGCTGTTTATTCGCCTTTCAATTCTTGCTGGCAATTCTTCGCCTATTTGGACGTAACGTCGGTTACAAAAGTGATTAAAAACGGTTGCTCAGTCGCCGCACAGACTTGGGTGGGAAAACGGGCGTTGACGAGCTGTGATTACTGATACCCCATGTCGAAGCAGTTGCCAGGATTCTTCAGCTCCCCCAGCATCCACACAACTGTGTTAATCGTGCCTCTTTTCCAACTTTCAACAAACCGGTTATTGCGTCCCCCTAGTGCGAGACTAAACTCATTGGTCTCTTCTTGAGCCAACCCGTCCCGTGCCTGTTGTATTCTACCATACGCTGATGTTACCATGTACATGCTTCAAAATGAACCCCCACGCGCCGATCGAACCCCCCCATGATGCCAAGATCGCCTCCTGCAAGACAGAGTTCATGCGAATCCTGCCTCAGTATTCAAGATGCTTCATCTTGTGCTTGAACGGCCGCAAAGTGCAAAAAAAAACTCTACGCTCGGATACCACGCTTTGGCGCCAGAAAATATGACGTGTTCCAATTATCGACATTCAGGTTGACAAAGTCGGAGCATTGTCCTGAAGAGGCGATATCAAAACGTCATCAAGCGCCGCCGCTTGCTTGCTTGTGAATCATCCTGCTTTGAAAAAGCAATTGCGAGAGCTGGACACTTGGAAAGTATTTTCTAATCAATCTGGGCGAATTGATGCTGGTGAAGATGGGAGTCTCAGGATTCTGAACAACTTCATCCGTCCAGGCATGCTCATCCGACGTTAGTCGTATTGTCACATCCCGAACACACCCCGTTACCCCTGCGCGCCGAAACTATTCGGCTCGGTGATCAAAGTGGCTTGCATGTCTGTGTGCGGCAACAGCTCCGAGCAATCCTTCCTGCGTTGCCCATACCCGCCAAGCTTCAATAGCTTTTGCTTGGATCAGCCACCTCATCGGTCGATGCCACAATTGTATGTACACACGGGCTTCTCAGGATTGCTGATCGGATCCCCGTGGGTGTTGTAGTCTGCGTGTTTCTGCTTTTGAGACAGCATCCCGACTGCCAAATCACACTCGAAAATGGTGAAGAGTCCTCTCCGAGAGGCCAAATCAACTTTGAAGATTCAATCCGTTTTGTGGCAATAACGCGAGTATTATTAGCGCACCAATCGCTTCGACTGCGAGCATCTTTGCTCGACAACAGCCAGCTTGGCACATGTTAACTAGCCAATTGGCGACATGGCTCTGTTGCTTGATATTTTTAGCGTTTTCCATGTTTCGCCTAGTGGCGGCCCAGGTCCGTGTCGTCGGTTCTTGTCAGATCGGCGAGCCTCCAAGAGCCGCCTCCACCACAACGGCGGTCAAATTACCATGGTATGGTCCAAATTGGTGGAACTCACTCAGACGTTTTTGGCAATCGAGAAGGGCGGTGAGGCCATACCCACCCGAGCCTCTTCGGTGTCGCATTACCCTATTCTGCACTTCCTCCGTCAGTCCAATGAAGGGCATGGAAAACTGTCTTGAGCTGCTTTCACGATGATAGGCTCGGTGTGATGCCGTGTGAGACGGCCGCGGTTTCTGCGAGAGTAGCAAGTGATCTGAACGAGCGGAGACCACATACTACGGGCTTGTCAGCTGAGTTGCAACAGCGCCCCCACGGAGCCCGCGGGTCAGGAAAGAGGTTACTGCCAACTCAAATCTAGACCAATACTTAGGTACTACAGCTAATCGGCGTAAGAATTCGTACACAGATCTACTAGTTATTCTCAGTTGGGCAGGCAGTATGTTGTTCCTGTACAAATTAGTGCGCCACCATACAATCACGCATTGGTCCGAAGCTTGTTCACGAGCCATGCATGTCATGTAAGAGCCTGAATTGTTGGTGACGTTTTTGCAGACCCGTCAAGTGAAACGCCCATGGTGCTCGAGATGAACTACGCAAGGGAATCCACGCGCCAGTCGGCATCCAACCATTCAGAAGGCTCGTCTACAGCATCCGTATGGAGAACCGGTACTGCCGCGGAGAAGAGCACTTATTAGTTTTGTCTTGTCAACCAGTTGTATGCGTTTCACTTAGTTACTCCGTCCGTAATTAACCTAGCACTACGGCTGTGATTTTCGTCTGAACCAATAGACAGCCCTCGGCCCTGGTGCTTCGAACCGCTAGCAAGACACGGCAGGAAAAGAAACAGCCGTAGTGGCCACAAGGCTGGGGCTGCACACTAAAACTGTCTCAGTTTTCTTTCCAAGAGCAGAAAGTGCGAAGAGAAGAAAAGAAGCAAGTTCTCTCTCGGAGTACTCGCACCAAAATAGCAAGCCAATGTTTCAGGGCCTTGTCACTGGCACATTCGACCTAATCTCGCGGATGACTTTCCGTCTTGCGCGGCGGACTTGGCCTTTGCCATGTATGGAGTATATGGTTCATGTTTTGCTCTACAGTCCACCAGATTATCCACAGCGTGATTTGATGCGCAAAGAGGCAACAGACAATAGAGAGAGCAAGGGCCCGGCGATTCGGAAGCAGATGCACAGGGGGGGTGCGAAACAAAGAAGCAGGCTGGACCCCTGCGGCTTGAGAGGGGACCCCCTTATTAATTCGCGGAAAACGAACGTTTGTTGAAAAATGGGCGCAACACTTTACTTTGAAAGCGGAGATATTGTGAAATGAACTGGGGGATGGGAAAAAAGCAAGGGTACACGATACTTGATCCCGAGGGGCGTGTAGCCAGCTAGCCAGGGGAGGGGCAGAAGGGGAAGAGAGAAGGGATGGGAAAGTTGAGAATCAACATGATCTTTTTCCATCGTCATTACTGGTTGTATGCCGGCAGACCCCTGCTCGGGGAAACGAAGCGACTCCTCCCCGAGCTGAAGGCCGTTTCGCGGAACATCTTGTCCATCATCAGCTGTCCATCAGCATCGGAGCATATTAACTTTGCTTTTTGGTCTTCCCCATTCTTTTTTTTTTCAGCGTCCCAGAGTTATTAGGGTGGTGGACCAGAACCAATGGATGAGATTACCACGGCTCGGCCCTCTGGCGTCCCGGGCGATTGGCATTGACCTACCCTGTGGACTACATTGGACTAAAACAATGACTTTTGCTTTTTTCTTTCTTTTTCTTCTTCTTCTCTTTCTGCTGTTTGAACTCGCACTAGGCTATCGAAGGGCCCCCGGCTATCAAACATGCTTCTTTGTGGGTAGATATAGCACATGCTCCATGTTCAAAACCGAGCTGCATCCAACTTGCAGTTTCATGCTTGCGCCACGAAGATGCTGAGGAGGAGATGGAAAAAGAGACAAGAAACGGGCTGGCAATGAACTTTTTTTTTCTGCCGTGGTGAGTGACGGAACCGGGCCGGTTCCTTCCAGCCGGCGGATAACTCGGAACCCAGGGTTTCCGAACGAGGCTTCATTGGGCAGGTAAAAGATTTCTCTTTGCCCGTCCTAGAAAAGAAGAGACAAAGAGGGTACGACATGGGAATCCTTGATCCGCGGATTCTTTTTCTCTTGTTCATTTTCGTGGCAAAAACGCCGAGGATGAACTAGTAGAAAATGACAAGACACAAATTGCCCCGATGTTGTGTATGCGCCTCTGAACTCTCAACGCCATCGGGAATTCAAGACATCGAGACTAGAGTGCGCCATCACACATTGCAGACACACACTTTAGAGTTTTTGAAAGGATTTCCCATCGGGCGAGTTGTCCTCTTTTGGAATGCTATTCAATATTCGTCGAATCTCGGCTCGTCATACTTTTTTTTCCCTCATTCTCTTCCTCCGGCCCCCATCTTCGCTCAAATCATGCCGTTGACGGAGACGAAGTCAACATCGGGAGTCCGGGTATGAAGAAGCCGGGCTGCTCACCTCCCCCCTGGTCACGATGGGTGAGCCGTCGTGACGTGCGGCACGGATCGGCCGGGGGGGGGGGGGGGCGGGATGTGGGCAGACGACAGCTGAAGGCAGAAAATTGGAGAACAAGGGCCTCTTGGTCAATGGCTGTAAACAAAGTCTATTTAATGGATAGCTTCGGCTGTCGAGACGGGAGATAGCTTGGATGCTTCGGCATTTGGTTCATTGGCAAGATGCATTCGCGCAAGGGGAATTAAGCTTTGATGATAATGTGCCCATGGCTTGCAATGGTCCAACTATAGATGACAGCCAAGTAGATGGCAGAAACGTTGCATCTGGCCCCAATAAACGGGTTGCCGAAAAAATACAAAACAAGACAAATGCTTGTGGGTTCATACTTGAGGACCCCTGCGCTCCCGGATATCTGCCCGGTACAAAATGATATGATAATGGTACAATATAATGTGGCGATGTTGAGTCTGTCCGCTCGCCCAGCCAACGGAATGAAATCCTCCAAATGAACAGTTCGCCACCAAGCGACAAGCCTACGTCTCATCGAAGCTTCTTGGTGACCTTGACAAACAGCCGGCCTTCTGGCACAGCATGACCAGTCATGTCCATCAATTGTATGAAACGATAGCCTGGCTGAAGACGATCGAGCCGTATGCACGCCCACGCCCGGGTTGGCCAGTTGATCACACCCGTGACCCCTACCTCGTCGATTTTGATGCTGTATCCACCGTGTTAGTCTTCTCATACGTGGAGACTATAATGATTTCGATTGACTTACAGCAGGAAGCTGAGCTCCTCGACGACATTGGGGATATCTTTGAATGTCAGCGTTTCGCCGGCTCGACCATAGTATGGGTGATCCGATTTATAGACATGAGTCTTCTTGGCATGGGTGTCATCGGCGAGAGTGCTGTCCTTTTTGAAATCAATAAACCGTCCCGTACGAATCTCGGCCCTGGTAAAGGTGTGCAGGGTAGACCCGTGGTGTTCAGCTTCCTCTCCATGGCCCTTCACAGGTATGTGCTGCGCCTTGAAAATGGTCAAGGTCATATCCATCGTGTGCACCGTGGCCGCTTCGTGCTGTGTCTGGCTCGACGTATCAGAGTTTCGGTAGCCAGGCGGCTTGAGAGCCCAACCCATCTCGTCAGCAAACATGCCATAGTTGAGCATCATGCCATCATCAGGGTATTGCCAATTCATCGTGACCATTTGCACTCCCTTGCGCCAAAAGTAGGCGGGGTTGTAGTTTGAACTATTGACCCTCTTGATGCCATCCGGATAGCTCCGCATGAAGAAGCTTTTGTTGTGCAAGAACAAAGCGCGGTGCTGTTTTTGGTCGAGTGCGAAAATGTCGTCCTCACTGATGGAGAAGATGTGATTGGGCTGCTTTGCTTGCTTGGTATCGAGGCCTTCAAATTTCACGCCTCGAGTGTAGATGGCAAGATTTTTGAGCTTTTCATGGATGAGTACTTTTGAATTGGAGTCATGGAGCGGAGTGCATGCCGCAGAGGCAGACACTGACTTGCCCAACTTGGCGACTTGCTGTGACAGCTCGGTGTCATGGCCGAGTTCCGTCTGTGTTGTAGGCGCAGAGAGGGATATAACGGGCTGTGAAGATATTTCGTGTGCTCTCTTTGCTTTGACGAGGATCTTGCCGCGCAGTTGCTCGAGTCGCGGTACTTGGGAGCGGGGATCACACTCGTCGTGGGGGACGACGAGGAGCATGTCTTGCCATACTTCTTCCATGATCTTGACCATGACTTCCTGTTGGTCCAGATCGGCATGCATCTCGTAACTAATGATTACGGGCAGGTCACTGGCGACAAAGGCAGTGTCTCTGATGGCCTCGGCAACCTCGCGAAAGCCACAGTAGTAGGTCAACAGGGGCCCATGGCGAACCCATGGCTCTCCCTTGGCAATAGGGCTGCGACCTCTGGTGGCAGATGGATGTGGCAGATGTAAAAGTTCGTTTTTATCTGTGGTAGCTGGAAATGCGTGGATGCTCGATTTAGGTGAATCTTCAACTAGAGTCGCACTGTTGCAGCTGACGCTTCTCGAGTGTGAAGTGCTGCCAAGGTATTTTCTCGTAGTTTCGCGAAATTCGTCATAGGCATGCGTCAATGAAGCAGATGATGTGTGGCGGTCATGGTGGATGGCGGGAGACTTTGAACTTGACCTTGGTGTTGCTGAGTCCCCGTTCCAAACATCGATTTCTATACAACGACCTCCCTTTAACAGCACCTTTTTCATACGTGGTTAGTACAATGCTCCGTTCCAGCCGTCCGAGGAGCGGTTCACTCACATTTTTGTAGGCTTGGGGTGAGCTCTTGGAGAGGACTTGATGTCCTTCGAGATACGTATTGTGGCTGCTACTTATGAAGTAGTCTGTTATTGGCCGTGTGAGGTCCTTTTTAGGCAACGGCGCAGCAGCATCCCATGAGTAGTTGAAATACCATGTCGCTTGGAAGTCGCCGACCGTGTAGGATTTGTCCGGCAAGGCCACTCTTTTCTCGCCCTGGGTATGGCGCAAGAAGTGTTCAAACTTACTCCTAGACAGGAATTTGTCGTCGCCTCGCAGCTGGTCGTAAACGTCGTTGAGAACACTGGTAATATCGGCGGGCAGATGTACGGTGCCGGTGCGGCTGTCTGCCGGGAACTGGCCTTCCAGCGGAGGGGCTTTGGGGGAGGCAAAGGCTGTAAATTTGACCATTTTATGCAACGCGCCGGTTGCCTGGCCATGAGTGTTGCCAAAAATCGACATGGTTCGCATGCGGCCGCGCTTGTCTTTGGAGCTAGACTGACGGGACTTGGAGCGTGGCTAAGGAGAGTTGGTCAATGGCTGGTGAGGAGAGGAACAGGTGTGAGGACATATTCGTACCCAAAGGCCACAAGAGAGCGACATGGTGGCCTGTGCCGCCTGTGCCGCCTGTGGTAGGGAGGAAGAGCCGTCGGCAATTGACGGTTGAAGGGACAGTGACGCAGGTCAACGATCGCCGTAGCGCAGCCTGGTCGAGAGAGGTCTTGGGAAGCAAGACATGCAGCGTTTTTCAGAGATGTGCGGGACAGAAGAGCAGCGGCAGGCGGGTTTTGTGTAAAGAGGATAATAAATGAGAGGAAGCATCACTCACGAAGCTGACGGGGCTTCATGGCGATTGCAAGGCGGGTGTCCCTGAATGGATATGGATACGGGAAGCCAGGACGCTTGGCTTGGCGAGGCTGAAGAGGCTGTACCTTTTAGAGGACGGGACGGCACTTGCCAGGCCTAGTGGGCAGCGCCAGTGGCATCGGGGGGGCGGTGCTGACCACCAAAAAACGTTCAGCTGAGTCGCGTGCTAACGTTATTCGTTATGCCCTACTAGGGTTGACGTCCCATATTGTGGATAAAAAGGTGCTGACGAGGCGTGAGTCGTGTGGTGGACGATGCAATTGATGATTGGAGGAGGGAGAGTGAGGCGGTCGGTGGTCGTTGCTCTGTCTGGGAGCTGGGGCAAAGTGAGGAAGCAAGGAGCGAGGAGCGAGGGAGGGAGGATCGTGAAGCAGCCAGCCGCCAGAGCGTTGCACGGATGGACAGTGATGGAGGTTAGCAATATGCACGATGGCCGATGTTGCTGCAGTGCACAGGTACGGACAACTTGAAAGCAGCGAGATAAATGCCATGAAGGGTAATTTCTGGCAGAGGCATGGAATATAGTGCGTGTGGATCCTCCATCATGTTACCACGAGTACCTACCTTGGTGGGTGGCGACGAATAACTACTCAACTGCATCTTCGTAAGTGGCGGGTTGGTAAATATTAATGTCCGAATATAAACAGCAATTTCAAAAGAAATTCATCAAGTTCAATGTAGCATTTAGTCAACTGCCCATTCGTACAGCAGTCCAGGGAATACCTCGTATCTACCTAGGTACCTAGTACCGCTCCCTGCCCTTGCCACGCAATAGCTGCAATAGCGACTTCGCCCTGTTTTGCTTGTAATAGTCTGCACCGTGGCGGGGCACAGCAGTTATCAAACTACCCGAAATGGTAATCAGCCTCGTTGGTGATTTTTTCATTGTCATTGTATTGTAAACGCTTTGAATGCTGCTTTTTGACTCATTACAGCCACCGTTGTCTGTCAAAAGTTCCAGCGCATCGCGGGCCTACCCGGCGGCGAGGCGAGACACCACTGAAACCACTGTCCATGACAAGAGCTTTTGATACGTCTGCTCTAATTACCTCGTACCCAGGTACTTAGGTACCTACTACCTCTTGGGGTCAATCGCCTCACTGACAAGCCCTCACACAGCTGTGCCGTCATCCACCTAACCTACCTGTAGTTACCAATACCCTCACCGACGCTGAAGTAGCATCCTGAAACACAATCTGCTCTTTCATCATCTCACCATTTCACCATGTCTAACCTGCGAAGCTGAGGCCAAGGTAAAATCATGGGGCCTTCGCCACGTCTTTACATGGACTGATGGGCCGTGAGTACACACGCACCGTCCTGCACAACCACTAACCTGAAGTCGCGTGCCAGAAACGCCGACTTCCCGCCACACTCGCATCCCGGCCTTACCACGCACCTTATCACTCAAGAAGACATGACCTTGTGATACCCCAAAGATGAATCTCCGGACAAACGCATCTTTACCGTAGGCGCGCGAGTAGACATCGACGCTGGCCGCATCCACAACGTACAAGTTGGCACCCACGGTTGTACCTATGTCATCGGAGAATAGTCTCACGTACCGGTCAAGAGAAGGAGCACAACACAGAACCAGGCGTCAATGTCGGCCAAGGAAACCATAACCACAATGGCCTGCTCTCATGCGCGGGAGATGGCCAATCCATCAGTTTCCTGTATTATATGCATGCACGTGGAATGGCCAATGGCTGACCAATACTTGCTCAGGCCAAGACAATAGCATGGCGAGATATATCTCCCAGGTCCCAATTGTTTATCCTGCGACGATACCATTACCAAAGTAGGGCGCGGGGATCGTCGGCCATTATAGCAGTACGTTTTATATGGTTGGGCCAATCGTGGGGGTTGGATCGAAGCACTCTAGCTGGCCACGGAAGACAATGTTGACCATTGAACTGATCACAATGATAGTTATGCTTTAAACTTTTCCCATCATACCCCGCCTCACGTAATAACTGATGAGCTATAATTTGCGGGAATAAAATACATCCGCAGCCCAAAGGTACCTTTCAATTTGTCTGACTGGAGGGCAAGGCCTCAGTGATGCGCCCAACTAACATTCGGAAACGCAAGGGCTATTATTCCGCGGCCCTGAGGACCTACAAGAGAGGTTTCTCCAAGCTGCAATACTATTTTATAGAGTAAGAATAATATCACGGGCAGTGTTGTCGGCGAGTGTTGGAGGCATGGTCAGTTATGACGGCCACCTTGGCTGCTATGATAGTTAGGTTCGAGCCTGGACATTTCCATCTTGAAAGACATAACTATAAGTTTTGACTTTGACGTCATGTTGGTCCCATCAGTACATATATGCTACCCTTGACTGGCCAAGAAGACGGTGGGATTAGGCAAGTTGCAATGCCTCAACGAGTATGCCAAGAATGATAATGTGTGCGGCTGGATCCAGCTCCCAGCCGATTCGCTGGAATATCGCCAGGCGACTGAAATCAAGATCCGTTACAAACTCTCAGCTACCGAGTCAGCAAGGTATCCGCCGCGCGTGAACTGCATAATGACCTCGCACGCGTTGAGCGCAATAACGCGGCGATTGTGAGTTGGCGATGGTCTGGTACTAATTGGTTCATGGACAAAGTTCGGTATAGAATTGGAAAGAACCGCCATCCCGAAAGCTTATTTTTTTCCTTTTTCCATCCCCCCCCCCTAAAGTGCACAATCGGTCGTGATGGCTCGCGTCGAAGCACAGGATGAAACACTGGCGAGCTTGGATGGTCCCTTTGGATCCCTTTGGGTTGAAAGGCTTACCAGCAGTAAGAGGAGCGTCGAGAGGTGGGCTTGTCTTGTCACGTCGAGTTTGATGAAGCTACAGTCTTGGCTCCGGCCAGGGTTTTAAACGCAATTCAAACCGGAAGTTCAAAATAGCCAAGTCGATTGCTCGGACGATTACGCTCCGCGGTGCTCTCACATGGGCGATTCTGCAACACTGGGTCCAACACGGGGGCCGAGCATTAGAACCTTGAAAAGGGCATCCATCGCATAGGATGCATCCATGTTTCCCCTCAAATTGCCGTTTCGCGGTTTAGCTTGTTTCATACGTTCGTCAACGTTCACCATGTCTTTTCCTGCTCGTTTGTGTAAATGGCTGTATGCTGCCACTTTTTTCTTGTTGATTCATTTCTTTTTTGCTTGGCTGGCTGTTTGGCAGTGAATTGTTTGGACTCGTGTTTTTTTTTTCCATTTTTCCGCATCGCTGCTGCTGCGCGCATCAAAGCAACCACGTCGGGCCTGGCTCCCTGTTGTCGAGCAAGCCACACATCCATCCTGAGAAAGATGGGAAATGCACCCTCATCCGACGAGGGAGAAAATCCATACCGAAGGCGGCTCTCCAAGCATCAAGCCACGAGCAACTGGGTGCACAGTGCTGCGCACGACGACTACTATGGGGTGCCGACGACGCCTCGGAGCAAACGCGCCCCCCACGGCGGCAGCCTGGATGATGCTATTCCGACCATACCAAGTTTCGCATTTCTGCAGGCGCAGAGTATGTCGACAAACCCCCCTGCTTCGTCTCCCGGCCATTCGCCCTCAGCCGCAGCAACGGGCTGGTACAAAAGTCGCCCCAGCCGCCACAGCACGGTCGCATTCCACCCACTTCGGAGCGCTCCCGTGTCAGGGCACGCTCGGGCGGTGGCAAGCATGAAGCAAGATGACGCGCCGGGAAATGACGCGCAAAATAATCCTACCCAGCAGCAGCAACAGCAGCAACAGCAGCAACAGCTCGACGATTGCTGTTTTTCCTCCCCGCCTGACCTAAGCAGCTCCTCGTCGACGGAATCCTGGCGCACCTTGTCATCGGTGTCGGACGCGAGCCGCGAGCTGCCTCTCTACATTCGGCGCCGCTCCCTGCAGCGGATACCGGGTCTGGCCACCCGCCCCGGGAAAGGAGAAGATATTCATCGGCCAAGCTTGCGGACAAGCTTGCCCACGTCGCCGCCGTTACACCACCCTTGCTCTCCTGCACAAGACCACCCTGCTGCTCCCTCTCTCCCCACCCCTGTCCTGGACAGCGACGCCAATGACCTCGGCAACTCTTCCGAGGTGGGCTACAAGCAGCTTGGAAGTATAAAATTTGGCTCCCTCCGGATCACGAATGGCTCGCCCCTTTCAATGCGGCGAGGTGAAGGCAACATGGATCAATTGGCGGGGCTCGAGGGCGAGATCAAGGACAACAAAACGTCGTCTGATGATGCCGCCGACTCGCAGCAAATCTCTTCAGCAGACCCTCTTCTCCCAGAGGAGCCAAGCGATCTGATAGAAAAACTTCCTACTGCGACCGACCCAGACTGTCCTGTCCCAGAGCAGCCTCTCAACGACATGCACGTCAGTGAAACTATCCGACCATGGCAGGGCCGTTTTTCGAGCGAGACGCCACGGCCATCAATTGAAACCCTACGCCACAGAATATCCTCCGTCATTGAAGTCATTGACGATGAGCAACTTCGCATGGTCAGACGCCCACGAAGCGCACTCGTAACCGCCGACGACAGCTCCAGTATCTACTCTGAGAACATCATTCCTGTCATGATCTCGGCAGACATTGCTGCCGAGTACAACCATCTCCACAACGACAACAGCAACGGACCGCATTTATCCTTTCTGTCTTTCCGGAATCTTATTCGACAAAACAGAGTCAAGAGCTATCTGCAGGCAAATAACAAACCGCCGGTCCCTGTCCCTGAGACGCCCTCTCATCAAAGGTCATCGTCCAAAGACGATGCCTCCATCATATCGACGGCAAGAACTCTTAGCAAATCGCGTCGCAAGTTGGCCAAGAAGAATCTTGAAGCCGCATTGCCGCCTGAGCTCTTATCGTCCAACACTGACACGCTCCATGTCGAGGCTCCCAAGCCTAGGCCTCCACCACCGCCCGCATCAAATGATCAACCCTCTCGCGAGCGGGTGAAAAGTCATACCCCAAGCAATTCCGACGGTCAATTACCTCGTATAAGCTCTTCCAAGTACGAGAAACGCCCTGTATCACGCATGTCACGGCAGAAGGAGCATGCACTGCCCAATCACTCTAATGCCTACCAAACAAGCTCGGATCATGTGCCCGGCCTTCTTGATAGAACAAGATCTACACCGCGAGCACAGGTCAGTTTCGAGGGCTACCCGCCAAAGAAGAAGCGTGAAGCGACCAAAGCCCAGCAGCTGGAGAAGCTACGGCGGTCGCAGACCACAGAGTTCAAACCCCTTCCTAACCCCCCAAAACCTGAACTGCCCCAGAGGAGAAAACCAGTCAGAGTTCCTGTGCCAATTCCTGGTAGCTTCGCCCCCCGAAACCACTATGAGAGCTCCATGGAGCCGCAACATAACCCGCTTCGACCCATGCCCTCGCACGTCCGGCCTCACACGATACCCCTGGTGGCGCCCGCGTACATGCCCCATGATGATGACAACGACGACACCGAGCTGCGAGGGCTTTTTCCTGCTAATGACAACCCATACGTGTCGCCACTGAGCGACGAGGACGATGACTTTTGGTCTCTCACAGCAGACGCATCTCTCAACCAGAGAGCGACAAACCCGCGGTCCGCTTTCCGGCCCCGCGAAGTCTCGCCGATTCGCCACGCAAAGTCCATGTCCAACATCCTGAGCAACGACGACAACGAGCGCCATACCAGCACGGTGGCTCCCAGTACCCATCTTAGCCGCGCGCAGGAACTGGCCGAGAGGTGGCGGCAGCAGCAGAAGAAGAAGCTTCAGCCGCTTCAGCAGCCTCGCAAGCCGTTGCTAGAGCAAGATCGAGTGTCGGCCTTTTACGAGCCTATTCCCCCTTCTCGTCCGACGACGGCGAGCGCCATCGACGACTATTATAGCCCCCCCGTGTTATTTGAGGAAGAACGAGACGGCAGTCTACCCCCAATGGTGTATCGAAACGGAACACGCCGGGGCTCCGAGATTGCTCCCGCGATGTGGCGACCGCCATTTCGCGTTTTACATAGCTACTATTCGCCAGCGTATAGAAATGCGCCGATATGGGGATAAAGACTGCGTGTTGTATAAAAAATAAACGCGATGGAATATGGAAGGGAAATTTGACCACTCCCCATGACCACTCCTCTTCTAGTTGGTTGGGGAGGTGTGGGTTCTGGTCACACTTCATGCGAAAATGTGTATAAATAACCTCATATATATAGAACATAAAAAGCAGAACAGGTGGAACGAAGGGAAGAAGAATGCAAAATAGTATGGGAATCAAAATGCATCGTCACGCTTGCTGTATGTAGGCCCATCAACAAGTTGGACCCTGTCTCGACTGGTCAAGACTGGCGCACGGGACGTGAGGGAAAGCCCGGGAATCCTGGCGCCGTTGCCATCCAGAGCCCAGACAGAGACGCCAGGCCAGTTCTCCCCATTGTAGTTGAGGATGCCCTCCGGCACCGGAAACTCTGTCTGCGGGCCAATATTGCTAATGTACTTGCCGTACTGGAAGCCGTTGACGTAGAGCAGTGTGCGGTACGCGGGAGAGGCGGCGTCGCTGCTGTTATCGAAGCGGAACGCAATGGGGATATCGTATTGGTCGGCAGGGAGGTCCAGATCCAGTCTGGCCGTGTAGTAGGTGATGCCCTCCTTGGTGGTGCCCGCAAACGGCGAGGCCTTGGTGAAGAGGCCGAGTGGCGGCGACGGCTGGTGGTAGCCGTTGCGCTCGAAGAAGAGGCCGCCCTCGTTAAGCGGGCCGCGGAAGCGATCCTTGTAGTCCTCCCCGCCGAGGTTGCCGGCAATCTTCCAGTCGGTAATGGGCGTGGGTGCGCGGCTGCTACTGTTGCGGGCGGCGGCTTTGTGCAGCCTGTAGTCGAGGATGCCGCGCGGGGCCTTCATGTCGTCGTTGCCGGGCGTCAGGTTCTCGTTGAAGCCGGTGCTGTCCATGACGACGGTGAGCACGTGGCGGCTGCCGGCGGGCAGCCGTGGGACGGCGTGTGTGACGACGACGGTGTCCCAGTTCCTGGCGCCGTCAAAGGAGCCGATGAAGGTGTCGTCGATCCAGGCGGACGCGGCGTAGGCCTCGCCGCCGGACGTGGTGAGCACGAGCTGGTCCTCGTCGCCGGCGGCGGTGAAGATGCCTCGGAAGAGCATGGTGCCCGTGTTGAAGCCGTAGTCTGAGCCGTACAGGGAGACGGGCGTCTTGAGGGGCGTGCCTCGCGGGTTGGTCGTGGTGCTGTGGTTGGCCTTCGTCCAAAGGGCATCGTCGTATCCGGGTTGGATCTCGGGGAGGGAGTCAATGGCGTGCCAGTCGAGGGAGTGTAGAGAGGGCAGGTTGACGGCGGGGAAACGAATGGCGGGCTTGGACAGCCAAGTGCCGTCGGCGGTCTTTTTGAAGCATGTGGGTTGGCCGTTGATAGAAAGCTTGGAGGCGTGCCTGGGGGCGCCGATGATCTCGAGGAACGTTGTCTGGTTGAAGTCGGCTTGGATGGAGACGGTATCGCCGTTGATGGAGGCGGATCGTACGAGGTATCCGCCGTTGACAATGATGGTCTCTGGATTCATCACGGAGCTGCCGTATGCAGAACCACCCTTGGGAAGCACTGGGACCCAATAGTTGTAGGCGCTGTTGCGGTCTGGACTGTGTTTAGTGGCTGGGTTGGCCGTGGTTCGGAAAGCGGCGCAACGTACCGAGCATGAAGATGGTGAGGTCGCCGAAGCAAATGACCTGGCGCTCTGGTGTAGGAGTGAACTGGACAATGACGGAGCTGTTTCTCTGTTTGTAGTCCATCTGGCTGCCGTAAGCATTGTCGACGCCAATAGCGTTTTTCAAGGCAAATTCGTGCAGCTCGCCAAGCCCGCCGTACAAGATGACGAGGGTCCGGTTATCAGACTTCTTCCAGGTCATAATCTCGGCGGTGGAGTAGAGAAGTGTGTGGTCGCCGACGGCGTAGTCGGTGACGTGGAATTTGGAGTCGCGCCCGGATAGGGTCAGCTTGCCGCCCAACTGTGGGATGTAGAGCGTTCCCTGAGAGGTGGGGAGCTTGAAGGTATAGGATGTCGAATCTCGGCTTTGGTAGTCTGCGTGGCGAGCGAGGAAGTAGCTGCCCGTCTTGTTTGAGAGCATGGGCGTGATGGCAATGTCTTTGCTGTCGCTGTATACGCCGGTCGTGACATTGCCTGGTGTAGCCTGCAGGATGGAGGGAGACACACGCATGAATTGTGCTTCAAGCTTCATTTCCGAGTATTTCTCACGGCCAATATAGCGGTCTTCTCTGATGCTCTGATGCGGAATTAGTTTACCAGTCCCTCGAGTTAGTATGCGAGGTTGTGATTTACAGCGCCATAGTCGTACGACGTGTACCCATTCGGATGGCCCAAGTTTCCCCAGTTGGTGCCGCCAAAAATCTGCTCTCATTAAACGCCGCGCTACTTTGAGTGGTCATGTACTTACCATGTAAATGTTGAAGATGTTGACACCCGCAGCAAGGTTGTTCTTGTCAAAGACGCGAGAGAATTCGTGGTTGAGAAGCTTGTAGCACTGATCAAAACCAAAGCCACCAAAAGGGTCATAAGATCCGCCTTGAAACTATAGTCGCGAGCAAGTCAGCCCTCGTCCCATCAAGAAGATATTGGGGACAACTGACCTCGACGATGGAGAAGGGAGTGCTTGGGCTAAGTCGCATATGTGTCTCGTGTAGGTCGGTAGGCAGGTTCCCGGCTGGCCACAAGTCGGGATGACCCTACCATGGGTTAATCAACGAGTCGAAGATCCTCGAAAGTCGTCTTACGCAGTCAAACCCTAGAGGATATGAATCGAAACCCTGGATTCAGTTAGCAAAAGTCTCTGGAATGCGACTCCTGGAGGTTTGCACGTACATAGATGTCGACCTCTCCTTCACCAGTGCCAGGCGCGCCAGTACCGCCAGGATAAGAATCGTTGTCGATGAGCGGCACCACAATGCCAGATTTACGAGCTTGATCTATGACATACTGCATGTACTTCTTGTTCGGAAATGGGGACACAGAGGCGCCGCTGTATTCATTCTCTGGCTGGAATAGAATGACGGGGCCACCATTTGTGATTTGAGCTTTGGCAATGATGGCGCCAATGTTGGCCATGTAGCTGCAAAAGAATCAGGTACTATGCCGCACAAGGTACGTATACGTCACTGTGAACTCACTTGTTGGTTGCCTCGAGGTAGTCGGGAGCGTCAGTGCGCAAGACGCCCTTGATGCGCTGTATCCAACCAGGATAGCCTCCGCCCGAGACTTCGGCGTTGATGTAAGGGCCCGGCCGGGCAAGAAGATAGACGCCCGCCTTGGTGGCGGCCTCGAAAAAGGGCTCAAGGGAAAAGATGCCGTGGGCGCGAAACTCGCCCGGCTTGCCTTCGAGCAGCGCCCAGTCTACGTAGAAGGAGACCATGTTGAAGCCCATGGCCTTGATCTTTTGAAACACATCCAGGTACAGTGACGGGACGGGAAGCCGGAACGGGTGGAACTCGCCGGAGAACATGAGGGCACGTTCGCCCCGGATGAAGAGCGACTTGTCGTCCCATGTGATGAGATCTTGCAGCAGTTCTCTTTTGGCGGGCTCATGAATGATACTGTAGGCTTGGTTGCGGCCACCGAGCACCAGACTTTGAACCACTGGCATGGCTAAGGCCGCGAGCAGGGAAAGAGACAACTTCATGGCTGGGTAAAGAAGGCTTGCCGGCTTCATTGAATGTGTAGCAGATCATTCCGGATAAGACGGTCGGGGCATAGAACTTATTTTTAAATGACAATCGAGTCCCGTTCAATTTCTGGGTTTATAGTAATAACACTACATACATCCAATACTGTTCAAATAAGGCAAGGAGCACGTTCTCGGCATTGAAGGCGCTCACACCCCTGACACTGCCCATTTCGGCAAGTTCAATGTACGGATATTAAAAGTGAGACACATGGGTTTTGATGGCCTGCCGCGAGGAATGATAAAATTGCGTCCCCGTGACGCGGAGCACGAGGAGTACGCAAACTCTCTCAGTACTTCGTGGTGCCGTCTAAAAAATACCAGGGGAAGGTGATTTCAGTCACGATGGGCCCAAGGATTCTAGCAAAAGCCGGTATAGCTGATGGAGAATTTGATAAACATGTTGTGGTGGTCAAGTTGCAAAGAGGGGTCTTCTGGAATGATGGCGAGGCTGGGGAAGCGAGAAGGCGCATCTCGCCAGGATCGAATTTGCCATCTCTGGTCTGATGAGTGGATGCGTTGCTATACATTTTCGCCGACGTCTTGTTTGAATTACGGATCGCCTTTGGGGGGGTGGGTTGCGTCGACGGTGTCGTAGTCTGGCAAGAACTGATGCAGGTCGGGTGCTCATTTGGGCCTGCATCTGCAGCGTTTCATTCGGCGCAATACGACTGTCCACTCCGCTCGAGACTTGACATACTGACCAGTTTCTCTCTCATTACCGTAGATCGCGTGACTATTGGGATGAGTTTTTAAAAAGAAAAGGGACAGTGTTTGATGCCCTGCGCAGGCAATACTTTTAAATAACATGTGCAGGCAAGCCCAAGATAGGCTCTGCGGATGTCTAGCACAGGCAATCCTTTTCAGTACTATGTGTAGGCAAGCCCAAGATGGGCGCTGTCTTATCTCGGCTCCGTGAGGGACCAGTTACACGAGGTCCCAACTCAGAGTGAGCAGACTTCCTCCACGACGCGGTCAATGAAGCTGACGGGAACGCCGTTTTGTTTCCAGACGTGCGCATCCTTCATGACAAAGCTGACCTTGCGGAGCGCCTTTTTGTCGACGCGCGGGTCGGTGTGGAGGGCGATGATGTCGGCGCGGTTTCCCTTTTTGAGCCAGCCAAACCGATAACCGCACGCGTCCTTGCCACAGGACGCCCAACCGCCGAGCATGCACGCTTCCAGCACGTCGTGCACCGGGATGCCAGCGTCCATCAGGAGCTCCATCTCTCGCGCGCCTTGGCCGTGGTTGAACGCGCCTGTGTCGCCGCCGGCCGCGAGGCGCACGCGACGGCATGGGCCGCCTTTCTGGCGACGGATTGAGCTTGGGGAAGGAGGCTGCGGCGTCGGATTCGAGGACGGCGAGAGTCGGGACGTAGATGCATCCGTGGTCAGCCATGGCTTGGATGGCGTCGTCGGTGGCTAAGGTTCCGTGCTCGATGGTTGTCACGCTGGCTTTGGCTGCCATGGTGACGCCTCGCGCAGTGCCAGCGTGGCAGGCAACCGGTAGACCCGCCGGCCTGGCCTCGTCAACAATGGCGTTCATTACCTCCGGGGTGAACATGACGGTGGAGGGATTCCGGTTGGCGGGCGAGAACAGGATCGCGTCGCCCGAGGGAGTCGTGCAGGGTGTTGCGCCTGTAGTCGGCGTAAAAGTTGATAAAGTCGGCGCACGCCATCGACGTCGTCGCAGGAGTCGCAGATGGGCGGCGGCATCATGCCATTGGCATAGTTTTCTGTGCGGATCGCGTAGGAGCCGGTCGTGGCCAGGCAGCTCGTCGCGACGAAGAGGCGCGGGCCGGGCGGGAGACCGCGATTGACCGCGTCCCGGAGGCTGGCGTCGTGGGAAGCGAGGCCTTCGGTGCCCAGGTCGCGATATGTGGTGTATCCCGAGAGCAACGAAAGGCGCATGTGGTTGACGGCTCGGACGGTGCGCTCTACGATGCTTTCGTCCCGCATCTGGTCGGGTTGATGAGGGAACGCTGCACTCATCAGCAACGCTTGTCCTTTTGCGGGTGTGAGAGCGTTGACTTGTGCGTACCTATAAGCATGCAAAAAAAGCATGGGTATATGCATCTACAAAACCAGACATGGCGACCTTGCGCCGCAAGTCAATGTCGCCGTGCTTTATTTCAGCCGCAATGGTGTCTCGCTGGATGACATATGCCCAATGGCACCGGTGGCGGGGTTGACAACGACGGAGATGTTCTTTTTGAATTGCTGAGGTTGGGTCGAACAGGTTCGAGGTATGAACGGTAAACGTAGGGGCTTCCATGACGGCAAGATTCGAGATGAATCCTACACTGTGCTGTGTCTACAGAAAAGAAGACTGTGAAGACGAGTTGGCTTGGGGGGGACGTCATTTGTCTGGCATTCAGGCGGCTTGCTAGCTCAAGCCCGAATTGGCCAGATGGGCCGCTCAGTACATACTACTACCTACCGCCCTACATTGATAACATGCAGAAATTGACGTCGCCATTGTCATCATGAATGCTTGTGGCTACCTTGTACAGTGGTACCCAATGGTTAGTGCAAAGACGGGGGCATGTGCATGAGGGCGCCAACGGCAATCTTGCGCCAAGACGCCAGCGCTGGATCTGCATTGTTCTGCCCATGGTTTATGGCATTGGGATGGATGTAAAGCAGTCATCTCCGTGTAACTTGTAAGCCAGTCGTGAAACTGGGGTAAGTCGCTTTGTCCTGTTGCGAACGCTGACCAAAAGGGCTGCTACGCTCAGCCTACCTACGGTGGAGGTAGGTAGTACATAGATACCTACCTAGGTACCTCGCAAGATTGAAACCATTACTGTAATAACGAACACTGATGGCGAACCGAGAGCTTCTGGCTGCATGGTGGCTGGTTCTCGGCCTGTATTTGCAGAGCCTAGGCGTCAAAAGATATATTTTGGGACGAAGCTAACCACTGGTGCTCAGCATTTCTACAGCCGCCCTTGGAAAGGTGTTCATCAATCTGCCGGTTTCTGATATGCATTGACGTGAGCACAATCGGCAAAAACACCAAGAGGCTGACCCCATACCTAGGTAGTAGTTACATAACTAATAATACTGTACATGAGTGACACACCGGAGTCATGTGGCGGGGCCGTCATTGATCACGAAGTACTCTGTAATCTGGTATTGAGACAAGTCAAGGCTGCGGTCAGCCTAGCCTCCTGCTTCTGGCTGCTTCTGGCTGCTTCTGGCTGCTTCCAAAATCGTCGACGTCGGCGCCAAAGTAGTGCTACGTGATGCTCGGTTGGAAGTTCAAACAACATTAACTAGTCGCCTTTCAACGTAGACATATCATGGCCAGTTTTGTTCCTTTTGGTCCGCCACGTCACAGAAGCCTTGGCGGTTCCGCGCAGTGCGACAAGGTGAAACGCCACGGGTCGCCAGTTCCTTACTTAGGTACCTGCCTAGTACCTGACTCGCTTGGCCGAAGGGCCCTGGAAGAGGCACGACCCACCCCGGATATCTTGGTACCTGAAAGGTACCGATATGTACCAGAGTGGCGCCCGCCGTCTGCCTGAATACGAGCACAACTCCTTTCCAGGGCCGCCTGCAAACCCTGGTTCATGGCTTCTTCAAATAAGAATATCCAGTGTATCACTTGATCCCTTCATTTATTGTTTTCTCATTTTCTCCACCGTTTGCTCCTCTCTTGCGCTGTTCATCGCCATCTTTTCGCCCACAACATCAAGACACGCGACGTCTTGCTAATCATTCCTTCTTGTTTCTTTTGGTTTGAACCAGCCCGAATAACAGCTGCCTGCCTACCTACCTACCTGGTAGACGACTTTTTATCACACCCAACTGCCGCCGTTCCGTTTGTTGGACCCCCGTTTGAGCGGCCAACCACCTCCAACGCCACACTTCCACCCAGCTTCAGCGACGACCACAAAACTGCACGGCATTTTGGCCGCAGCCGATTGTTTGTCGCTTCACACATCTTCACTTACAGCAAACACGGAGGACTTATAGTGCAATACAGTCGGGTCTGTTACCATGTATTCGCCTCGCTTCCTGCTAGTCCTTGTCGCAGCACTCTGCGTAGCTGACGCGGCCTTTCTGCAAAACTTCCTTGGACGTCGGGCAGATGCTTCAGTCAGCGTAACCGGCAGTGAGAGCAAGGCCTCGTCTACTGGAGGCGCGGCAAGCTCGACTTCAACGCCCTCGACTTCTTCTCCCAGCTCGGCCTCTACCACGCCGCCTGCAAGCTCCAGCACCACCGAGCCTCCGTCATCATCCGCAACTCCCACCTCAACTCCAGCCCCGACCTCGACCCCGTCCTCTTCCACGCAAGCTGCGCCGACGAGCACCCCCGCGGCATCCACGTCGCAACAGCCTACGTCGCAGCAGCAGCAGCCTACAGAGCAGCCGACCTCGCAGGAGGAGACAACCCCTAAGTCTACCTACACCAGCTTCGTTACATCGACGAGCACTCAGTTCCCAGCCAGCACCACCAAGTCTACGCCGACACCAGGCCTGAACTCGGACAAGGATGGCGCTACCTCTGGTATGCCCGTCAAGACGCGCAACACAGTCATTGGCGTGGTTGTCGGCATTGGCGGTGCTATTCTGTTGGGTGCCGCGGGCATGGTTGCATACCGCATCTGGGGCCGCAAGAAGCAGTCGGAAGAGAGCGACGGTCTGATGAGCTACGACCTGAGCACCAACGGCTACGAAAAGCACGAACCGTCCAATTCGATTACCAGCAACACTCAGCGAACGCCGTTTCAGTCGACGTTGGACAACTACCACCAGCCGAGCAACGTCAATCCTTCGTCCAACTTTTAAGCTTAGCGTCTACTCTCGTGACGATCGTAGACCCTACAACATGGAAGAGGACTGGCAGAAGGTGAAATGCGACGAGGTGAGAAGAGATGTCTCAAACTCGCAGAGCAGCAAAAACAGGCAGTGCGCTGGACAACTTATTTCAGAGGCAACGGCTATCTTCGTGTGTCGACATGAAGCGAGGCACGCACGTACGCAGTAGAGCGCCGCAGTGCAGGTACAGCGTCTTGTATATTGCATTTGTTAAATTTTTTTTTCAATTTTTGCGCTGCATAGCGAGTACTGCTGTCCCTTATCCTACTCGATAGACCCGTTTAATAATATATCGCTTGTATGTTGTTAGCATGGACTGTATCGGAAATGCAGTTATGCATACAAATGCGTGGATCAAGTGTTGTTTGTATTACTGCACAGAGCAATTCTGATGTAATAGATGAGGTTTGATCAACGTCGTACGCGAGGTGACGAGATAGACTATGCGGCAACCTGCAAGCCATGGCCATCATTGCGTAGTTTAGGCTCCGTGTGCGATTACCCCCATGCCGGAAATAACTAGATTGCACTTTCGGGGTATTCGCCTCGGTAATAAAGGGTTGGTACGTGGAGGTTGTGGCTAGGAGAAAGCTGTGGGATGTGAGATGGTCAAGCATACGTGCAGGTTGGTTGCCGAGGCAGATATCTGCTCAATCATGAAAATCGCGACCCTAGATATTCACAACTACGCCAGGTCAACTTATCAGTGGCTATTAGATGGAAGGCTCTTGATCCCGCATGCAGAACAATACACACACACTCTCTCTCTCTCTTCATGTTTGTCTGCATAGTTTTTCCTTCCACCCGAAATCACGGCCCGCCTCCAAAAGCAGAAATTTTTGTTTGGGCCTTGGGCGGGAGGCTCCCGTCTGGTCCCCTGGGACTAACTGTTTCTGGGATGTCGTGGTTTCTGTTCTCTCAAAGTGTCTGTCTTCCCTTCCCCCACTTGTGGTGTCAACACTTGGGCAGAAAGTGGGCGTCATTAAACTACCTACTAAACTAGGTGCTTTTCGGATGGCAGCCCAGTTCTTTATTTGCCTAACTATTCCTTTCGGCCTTGGTATCACTGTAAGCGTGGCTCGCCGTCTGCATTGAGACCAGTATATATAGTTATGGATGAAGAGACTTTGGCAGCCTCATTTGAGTGCAAGCTAGAAAGAAAACTCAATAAATGACCTGAGAACTGAATTTTCTCGTCCTGCCCGGCCATGTGCTACCACTGAGCCAAAAAGAGTCAGACTCTGCTGGGCTCGTGCTCTCAACTCAGTCTCCTCCCTCCGCTGTACATTAGCGACCCAGTCACGAACCCTCCGCAATCGTTAGAGGATACATGCTTCGAGTTGGGCATACCAGCAGTTTGTCACTCAAAATAAAGTGGCCGAATGTACAGCTCATCAGGTGAAACCACTCAAGCCGGCCGAGGACCCCTGCCCTAAAACGGCAGTAAACCTATGTATTTCTGGGGGAGAATGAATTGAGTTTGCAAGAGAAACACTTCAGCCCTTTAAACGGTACCAAACGAGAAAGAGGCTGCTACTGTTAGTGACGCTACTGTTCATTAGTATTCTAAATTACATACTTTTACTTATGTGCATTACATGCCATTTGGCTCCCACCTCATGTAGCCCCAGGTTCTCCATTGGCGGTGGCTGGGCTCCATACCTACCTGCCTGGTACCTGGTAGGTAGAGGTAACTAGGGTGGTGGTTGGTAAGGTTGTAGCCCGCCTACTTTGCAACCAAAGTAAATTTCTCCAACCTCGAAAGGTCAGTACAGGCTTGCAAACTCTCTTCCAACATCCTTCGCAGTCTTTGCCTCGATCGCATATATCAACCATGTCTCCCCCCGTCCTCACCTTCTGATTTCGTTTCGCCATTGATTTCTTGATACCCTCACCACCTATACCCCCAAATCGCTGTGTGTAGCCGCCCCCTTTTAATTGCCAAAACGAGCCCATCATACAATCGACGCGACGCGTACCCACCTGAACACCGCAACTCCCTTTTCGATCTTCTGATTCGGGATTTCGAAAAGACAGACCCTCCACGAGAGTGGCCTTTTATACGCCAGATTTGAGAGAATTAGCGACAGGCGACACGTCCTTCGTCTGCGCTGATCTCAGTCGGTAAGTGGCAGAGCCCAATTCGTCCGTGTAAAGGGACTGGCCTGGCTTGACGCGGTGTCACCAACCGGCAACTGCGGGCTGTCCCGATTTACGTGACTTTTCGGTGTTCTCGTCGCCAACTAAACAGCCTTTTTGTTGAATAGACCCTTCGTTACGACGTCGTCCCCGAAGTCGTCAACTACCAGCCCTCCACGTGCGCAGGCACTGGATGGTTCTGGACACCCTCGCTCGCAGGAGCAGCCACCGACGTCCCCGGCCCTCTCCACGGCCTCAACCGCCGACGGAGACGACGACGCAGACCCCGAGTCCTCGCCCCCGGCCCCGGCACTCCCAGCACCAAAGCTGTCTGATCGAGTTTCGGCCCTACTCCGATCCCCAACTAGAGCCAACGACGATCTCTTTGAGACGGCCAGTTGGGGCTCTCCCTACCCCCCCGACGACCGCAACGTACGTCGCCAGAGCTTCAGCAGCGACCTGTCTGAAGAATCGCCAATTCACAATCTGGACATCGACACCCCCTTTCTCCGTACAATTCCTCAATTCCCTCAACAGCCCGACGCGGAGACCCGCGAGCCACTGAGCGCCGCCGCCGCCGTTCTCGCCAACCGAGTCAGGCGCAGCAACAGAGGACTTACCGAAGACTGGATCCGCGCCCACACAGCCGCCGACCAAGGAAACATAGAGCCTCGCCTTTGGCTCAGTGACGGAAGCGATAGCGAGCACTCTTCGCTGAGCGGCTCCGAATTAGCTTGGCTGGGCGAACTTACTCCCAGAGCTGTCAAGGCTGCCAGAGCTGCTAAGAAGCAGACGCGACAACCCCGGTTGAGCGCCAGCATTGAAACCTTGAAACCTACGGAAGGAAAAGACATCAAACTGGGTAACTCAGCAAGCATGGCCTCAGAACCCGAGCGTGTGCTTGAGCCGGCTGTCAAGGTCCCTCCCCAGCACGACGAGCCTATCGGCCAGTCTGTTGAGGAGGGAAGTTACACGTCGCCTACAGAACAGATGAACGACGCAGCATCGAACCCTTCTTCGAACCATTCAGGTGCATTGAGGGACGCGCCTGTCAAGCCATCTGCGGAGACTCTTACTCCGACCCCTATCCCCTCGACACCAAAGAGACTGAAGGAAAAGTCTTTGCCAAAGGAACCTCTCATGACGCCCCGAATTAAGAAGAAGGTACCGTGGAGGGGGAAGAACATCATGATTTTAGTTCCTCGCGATGAAGATCGAGGCAAACCTGGCAAGGCCCCCGTGCCTTTACGCCCTGCTGAAACCACGCGCATGTTTGCTTCATGGAAGGAACTCGGCTATAACGTGGACGGCTTCGATCTGTTTGTCAAAGACTACCAACCCATAGGGACTGATGACTCCCAGAGTCGAGACTGTTGGCCCTCGGCCGATGAGCTTACCCAGGAGCGGTCAACAGGCCATTATCAAGTCACACTGCCAGACCTGAATGCGTGGAAGAACTATGTCCAAGAGCTTCAAGAAGCCAAGCTCAGAGCGCTTGGTGTTTCTGATGCTACGGATGAGCCTCCTGCTCCATCAATTTCACCGACCCTTACCATTCCTTCTCGACAAGCTTCTGCCCAATACCCCCCGCTGCCTTTCTCGCCACCGATCCCTACTTCGTCGGCATCCAGCAACAATGGCTTCAATTTTCAGTCGCAGCTGCTTTCAGGCACCACGACGACAACTCAGAGCCCTGGGATCGCTTCTCCAATTCCTTTTGGACAGATCCAGGGCAAGTTCAACACTCGCCAGTCCATCTCGCTTCCGGCTGGCAACTCGCCGTTTCAGATGTCACATGTCCAGGGATGGCAGCACCAGGCGGGCATTTTGCAAAGTCTCGCTCGCATTGATTCGCCACTTCTCAGCCTGAATGGCCTCATCTCACCCCATTCGCCGTATGATATGGACGGTTTCCCTATTTCGGGAAGCCCCGCCTTCAACGCCCACCAAAGGCACCAGTCGTTGCAGTACTTCCCGCAACAGATGCCTAGAGCATCACCTCATCTACAGCAAGTGCGCGAGGATGAAGAAGAAGAAGTCGAAGATCACGCCAAGAGTCCTTCCAAGACACCAGAGCCCACCAAGCAGCAGCAGGTGTCGATGCATGCCGAGATGCAAGATGCTCAATATCACCTCGAGGAGCAGCTCCGCAATCAGCTCGAGCATGAGGACTACAATCCCCAAGCTCGAGGCAGCGCTGCTGTTCACCACGAGAACCTTGCTTCAGCTCATAATCGTCAGGCGTCTGGGAATCTGGCTGTTTCCGAGCACTTTGCTCACGACCAAGTCAAGCCCGTTGTTCTTCATCATCCCCGCCCACACAGTCGTGGCCAGTCCCAAACTTTCTTCCGCGAGCACGATACGCCAGCGGATGAATCTACCTTTGGCCGTCTCAACGGCATCCCCGAAGCTAACAAACCTGAAGCCGATGAGGCCTACGAGATAGAGACAAATCCGAGCAACCTGGGCACTCCTGTGCAAAGCTTTGACTTCCCTGCCATGACTCACCCGCATCAAAAGACAATGTCAACTGCTAGCAACCCTTGGAACACTGTCAACGAGTCTGTAGAAGTGCCGGATCACGAGAGGAAGATATCAAGCTCGAAACTCAATGTGAAGGCGCCTGAGTTCAAGTTTAACCCTACGAGCAACTTCACTCCTGGCATGTTCAACTTCTCTTCTGCTCCCATTTTTCGGCCTGGAGCAGCAGCTTTCGAGCCTGCGATCTTTCAGGCTGGCGCAGCAGCGTTTGAGCCTGCAGTCTTTCAGGCTGCAGTCCACGATTACGCTGAGCCTGCCGCTCCTGTTGCCGAGTTTGGTAGCAGCCGGTTTGGCGTGAAGGCTGGCTCTCCGTCATTTACTCCAGGCAAGAGCGAATTCAGCTTCTCGACGTCGGGGCCCAAGTTCCGCCCCGACGCGCCCGCATTCACCCCATTCCAATCCCTGGCTAAACCGCTCGACAATTCTCGCAAAGGTCATCAAGGGCGCACTGACTCTATTTTTGGAGACATCAACATTGTCGCGACTGAAATCGCCCGCTCCAGCCGCAAATCCAACGCCATTCCCATCATCCGACCTTCTAGCAGATCGTCGGCCAAGTCGCCCTTGTTGGGTGTTGCTGAAGATTCTGGTGAAGATCAGATGGATAGTGATGGCCGTCCCATCCAGGACGAATCAAGAGCTAAGCGTGCCAAGAGCCTCGCACCAGAAAATGAAGAGGTTGCTTCATTCGCCCAGATGCCTCTTGCTAGCATCTCGGAGAGTACCAACGATAATGCTCTATTTATTGACACGTCAATGTCGTCTGCTGGTACCGGAGATATGTTAGAGACGAAGCAGACCACGGCTGTGCCTTCAGAGATTTCACCGGCTACCAAGGAGGAATGGCGCCCCTTGCAAACCGCCAAGGATGCTGTCATCAACAGCCACAAGGCTCAACATTCTGCCGAACTCAAGTCGAAAAAGCAAGCCCACAAGAGAAACTCGCTCTCTGCTACAGCTATAGTGTTCTCACCTGGAGCCATGTCTTATGGAGACGAGTCGCCGGTGACACTGACCCGCGCAGAGCCAAGCCCTGTCAAAATGACGCACTCTGTATCCATCTCCGAAATCCAGAGAATTTCTCCGCATGTCTCGGACGAGTCTCAATTCTCATCCGCAATGCCCTCTGCCAGACCGAAGGGTCTCAAAGCCTCTCGCTTTGCTCGAGCCGCGCCCGCCTCTGTTACTCCTCCCGCGGCCACCCCTGTACCCATTCTTACTTCCGCGCCGGAGCCCCAGTACGAACAGGAGACTCTCCAGAACACTTCTGCAGACATTATCCCGTCAATCGAGGCTCAAAATACATTGGTTGGTCTCAGCGAAGAGCCAGTCAAGACCGACGCGAAAACAGATGAGCCAACTTTCGAGGAGATTGACGCTGTCATGCAACAAATGAAGATTGATCCGAACATGGGCGTTAAGAAGAAGCCCCTGGAGAAATCTATGTGGAACCAGCCGACGCCCGTCGCCAGCCGACAGCCCTCCTATACGTTGCGCCCCGTTGCACACGAGTTTGTTCCTGAATTTAGCCAACCAGTTCCTCCATACCCGAAAGACCCTCTCCTGGAAGACCCGTTTATTGACCCGCCCGATGCATGGGCCAATGGACAGCAGCAGGACGATATGCCTGCCAGCGACTGGGAAGGTGCCTTCTCAGAGGATGAGCACTCCAAACTTGAGAGCAGGACACAATTCTTCGACGGCCGGGTCAACGAGATTGTTGGTAGCTTACTAGCGTCTCGCCTTGAGCCCATAGAGAAGACTTTGCTATCGATCCAGTCCGCTCTCGGTAACAAGAGCCGTCGTGCCCCATCATCTCGCCGCGATATCAGAAGCACGACTAGTGAAAATCAGGAAAGTGACGCCGACGACGAGGATGACGAGTTGATCCTTAACCGGTCCATGAGCCCGCGCAGAGATCGCCGCATGGACCAAATCCGAGTCGTCGTAACCGAGGCTTTGGCTGCGCAACTCCAGAATGTTCATACCCCGACTGAGGTACCAGTCGTCGATCACTCGGCTGTTTTGGCTGCTCTGGAGGAAGTGAAAGAGCAGATGAGCACATTCAAGAGCATGCCGCGTCTTGACCGTGAAATTGAGCACGGCCATGATGAGGACATCAGACCAAGCACATCCAAATCCGACGATGCTATCCTCGCTAAGCTGGATCAACTGCAAACAAAGAACATTGACCTGGAGCAGCGTCTACAATTCGAACAGCACAAAATTGAGAAGGAAGTCCAAGAGCGTCGTGAGGCGGAGGATGCTGCCGCCGAACTTAATCGCAAGCTCAATGCTGCCGAAACTCGTGTCGAAGTCGAAATTATCAACAAGAGTGTATATGATCAGCGTGTGGGAGATCTTGAAGAGCGCCTCAGACTGCAAGAGGATAGGACCGAAGAGGAGCTCAAGCAACGCCGCCTTCTCGAGGACAAGCTTTGTGATGTCCAGCGCCAACTCAAGCATGCTTCCGAGGAGGAAACTCGTCTTACGGAAACCCTCGAAGAACGCGACCGCAGAATCAAAGAGCTGGAGCAGCTTGCTGGCAAGAAGGCTATGCGCATGACTTTACTGGAGGCTGCTTCCAGCAACGCAAGCCAGTCACAGAGTGAAATGACCAACAAGCTCAACACCCTCGAGGGCGACCTGAAGGAGATCCGTCAAGATAACACGCACTGGCGCAACGAGGCCGAGCGAGCCGACGAGAGCGCTCGCCGCAACGCTGGTGAGCTCGCCGTTGTCCGCGACGAGAACAAGGGCTTCCAAAACACCATCCAAATTCTCGCGGCTCAGCTGCAAGAGAACGAACGCCTCCGTGAATCTTGGCGTGGCAAGTTCATGTCCCTCCAAGAGGACATGGCTAATGCTGCTCGCGAGGTCGCCGAGGAGAGCGCCAGACGCATCAAGAAGGACCAAGCTATGCTAGCCCGCCAAGAAGTGCTAGACGCTAGGTTGCAGGCCGAAGCCAGAACTCGTGAGCGCCTCGAAGTTGAGATGGAACGCTTGCAGACCAACGAAAGAAGTGGCATGCGTGCCCTCAAGGAATGCACACGTCTCGAGGGGATCATGGGTGAGCTCCGTACCGAAAAGGATCAGCTCCAGCAGTCCGCTTCTCGCTACCTGCGCGAATTCGAAGAAGCCAGAGAGTCTGGCGCCAGCGAAGTCAACCGTACCAGAATGTCTATGCAAACGGAAATTGACGCTGCCAACCACCAGGTCAACGTTGTCCGCCAAGAGCTTGAAGACCAAAACAACAAGCTCCGTGCTGAAATCGACAACATCAGGCTCGAGACCGACACTGCCAAGGAGCGCAACGAGATGCTTTTAGAGGAAGAGCAAACTACCAAGGTCAAGTTGATAGAGGAGCTTGAGCGTAAGCATCAGAACGAAATTGAGGATATGCAGACCCGCTTCGAGCGCCAGATCAACAATACTGTCGAGGATAGCCAACGATCTGAAGAGGCTCTTCTAGAACGTCTTAGCCTGTCCTCATCCAAGATGGAACACCTCAAGGATCGAATTCTGCACCTCGAAGACAAGCTCGAAATTTCTAAGCAGGCTGCTGCCGCTGCCGCTCAGGCCGCCAAGGCCGCCGCTACCGAGCCCACCCGTGCTCCTTCTCCTGCTCCTGCTACTACCACTCGCGTCGCAGTTTCTTCCAACTTGCCTGAGAAGATCTCCCCTCAGGCCCTTCGTGAATCCATCATGGTTCTCCAAGAGCAGCTTCAAGCTCGCGAACAGCGTATCGAAGAGCTTGAGCAGGACGTCTCCAACCTGGACCCCGAAGCACCTTCCAAGATTTCGAAGCGCGATGATGAAATCAGCTGGTTGCGTGAGCTCCTTGCAGTAAGACATGGTGATCTGCAGGACATCATCGCAGCCTTGGCCGTGGACTCGTTTGACCGCGAGAGAGTCAAGGATGCTGCCATCAGACTCAAGGCCAACCTACAGATGGAGGAACAGGAGCGCGAGCGAGCTATAAATGGTGGCTCGTCTATCACCTTGCCCAACATTGCGCAGAGCATCCAAGCCGCTACTCCGCGAGTCGCGCAGACCATTGGCTCTGGCTTCAACGCATTTGATCGATGGAGAAAATCCAGCCAGCCCTCTTCGTTCTTCTCTGGCGTGCTTAACTCGCCTTCAGCAGCCACGCCATCCCGCAGCAAAGGTCCCAGCGCACAACAATCTAGGCTTCTAAGTGGCCTGTTGACGCCTCCGGCGTCTAGCCTACGTCAAACACCTGCGGCTGACAACAAGCCTCAGCCTACGGCCTTTGGGAGCACTGGTCGGCGGTTCCCGTCTCACGGCAGCGTCCAGAACCGAACACGCGGAGAGTCAAAACCATCGGCGCTGGCGGAAGATGAGGAAGCGGCGGCCACGAAAGACACCACACCACCGCGTCGCCAGGAGCAGCCAGCGGATCCTGTCACGCCGCTCATGATTCGTCAGAGTGGATACGATTCTGACGCCCAGCCTGGCGACTTTGATGATCATGACTTCTTTGAGGATTAAAGTGTAGGGAGGAGGCACGGCATAACTAACGGTCGACGCGGCCATTATACCTGATTGTTAACATAACCATTTTCTTTGTCACGCATTTTCTGTTTTATATATTAGACTGGGAGCAGGCACGCAAAACTTTGCGTATATTAATTATATAGTGTAATACGATTTCTTACTCAAAACACAAGACAGACGCATGACACGATGTAAGACACAAAATTTGTAGTTGATATTATTAGTGCGAGAATTAAGATCTATTGATGAATAAGCTTGCGCACTATTCGTTATCCAATAATTTGTAGATTACATATTCTAGTTACTGCTGAGAAGCTTCTCGACAGCCCATTTGACGGAAAAGTTGCGCAGGTCCGAGTAATGCTGGCCGACGCCGACAAAGACGACGGGTACGTTGGTGGCGTGGACCAGGCTGACGAGGGTGCCGACCATGTCGCCGACAGTGTCGCACTTGGAGATGATGAAGCCGTCGAGGGAGCGGACAGCGCCGAAGGCGGCGTTAAAGTTGCGTGCCTGGGCGACGGAGTCGGTGCCGACTAGGGCCTCGCCGACCATGAGGATCTTGTCGGGTTGGGCAAACTTAGCAAATTTCTCGAGCGACGACATGAGGCGCTGATCGTTGTGCCGGCGGCCGGCAGTGTCGATAAGAACAACGTCGTAGCCCTGCTGCGCGGCGTGGGTGACGGCATCCTTGGCCACGGTGGCGGCATCCTTGCCGTAGCCCTTTTGGTAAAGTTCGACCTGGCCGCCCTCGCGCGCCGTCAGCTCCGTGAGGTTACGGACGTGGACGGCGAGCTGCTCGACAGCGCCAGAACGGAACGTGTCGCCGGCGGCGATGAGCACCTTGTACTTGTTTTGCAGCAAGAAGAAACAAATCTTGGACAGGTTGGTCGATTTGCCCACACCATTGACGCCAACAATGGACATGACGTAGGGACGGCGCTGTCGGAGAGATGTAACAGGTGGTGATGTGATAGAGTCAATGTCGCGAAGAAGGTCGAGGGACGACGTCGGTGTGAGCATTTTGGTGAGAGATGCTTCCATCGCTGTCTGAATCCTGGCGTTGATGCCTGTCGAAGCGGGTTAGTATGAATGGTGATGGGCAGATCATGGTCGTGAACTTGCCTTCAAATGTTCCGGTCTTGGTGCCTACCAGCTCCTTTTCAACGCCTTCGCAGAGTCGTACGGCAGCTTCTCTGGCCACATTCTTGCGAAGCAGATGATCTTCCATGCCCTTCATGGCATTTGCGAGATCCTCAGTTGTCAGGGTCTTGCCGCCAACGACGTTGCGAAAGAGTCCACTGATGGCGTTTACGCCGGAGCCCACGAGACCAGTCTTGGCTGACGCTGCACGTGAGGCAGCCGCCCTTTTCGCCTCTGCAGAGGCAAGGATACCTTGTACCTCGTCGCCCAGGTCTCGCAGCACAAATTTGCCCTTGGTCGATGTGCCCCAGGTGGAGGAGTCGACGGACTCTACTGCACTGGACTTGCCCACGCCATCACCGCCATCCTGCGCAGAGTAGTCAAGCTGCACATCGTCATCCTCGTCTGCGAAGCCGTCTGCGTCCCACTTTCTACCCTTTTTGCCGCTTGCGACCTTTTTCGGGCGAGTTGCTTCATCCCCGGACGAGGCAGGGGCCGAGTTGTGCTTGGCCTTGCGCGCACGCCTTGACATTTTGGATACGGGACCAGCTTTCGCAACAACTAGATTGCTGCTCGCAGGTGTCGTTGGCCGCGATGTAGTGGGTGTAGAATCGGCCGATGCCGCCTCTTTGCTAACACTATTGGAGACAGTGCGACCCCGGTATGTCAAACCAGGCGCAGAAAGCGTATTGCTATCGGGAGAGCTGTTCGCATCGTCAATGGCTTCCGTAGGGTCGGCTGTACTGGACTCGTCGAGTTCTCGAATCTGTTGATCAAAGTATTCGTCGAACCCATGACACTCGACCAGGGTTGTGTGCGGCTTCTTGACCTGTTCGCCATAGAGACTGACAAAGATGGTTCGAATATTGTCGACGAGTTTATCCACCCAGCTCAGGTGAAGAAGGGATCGATATACAACCTAGCTTCTCGTCAGTATTTTATGTAAGATTGCATGTTGGGAGGCCATCGGCTTACGACAAAGATAACTCCGAGCTCCTTTACCATAGCCCACTTGAGAGTGTGGTGGTCGGTCTTGTAGGCGGGATTGGCGGCGGCCGATTGAGCACTTTGGACAACATTGCCGGAATGCTTCTCCTCAATAAATGTATCAATAATGAAATTGTTAATTATCGATGGGTTGACAGGGGCGTATGTGCGCGACCAAAGCACAACGCCTGAGGTCGTAATAATTTCGAATGTGTCCAGCATTGCGAACAAGCGTGGTGGGGGGAATGACGAAAGGCGAGATTGATAACGAAGGGAGAGGAGAGAGCTGAAAGAGCGGAAAGAGCGGCGATGAGAATAAGAAGAAGAAATACAATCTCCAGCGCCGAAGCAAAACTTCACTAGCTGTCTGAGAGAAGTCGGTTCTGTGCTGTTGCAAGTGGCGAGCTGGGATCTTGAAGGTTGGCGGCGTCGCAGTGATAACTTAACATAGCGCTGGCCTTTATTTTATTCGCCAGCGGCCCACTCTGTTGTCTTTCTGGCGGTTTAGTGGTGCTTTCCGGGAGTCTGGCCCGGACCTAACTAGGTAGGTAAGGTACCTCCTACCTACCTACAGTGGGTGTAGGTAGCTAGGAGGTAGGTACTACTTAGGCTAGGTACATACCTACCTACCTATCACGTGCGGGACTTTTCTTGAGCCACCGTTACTACGTGTCAAAGAGGTAGCGTTGTGCACCGGTCGCACGAATTGGAGCTGTCTAGAATAAAAAATAAATTTCCTTGTCTATTACGTTTGAAATATTTTACAAAATACATTGATTTCTTTTTTCTAAAAAGAGTTAGACAAGAGGAATTTGTCGATTTGCCCCATCTGAAATCTGAAAACAGGTGGGTTACGTCAGTTCAGGGGCGTTGCGCCAGCCTTCTGTGGGTTCATCAGTGGGTGTAACTAGCTCCAAGCAGCTCTCAGTGGCAGAGGTTTGTACAGGGCAGAAAAGTGGCCAGCGCAACCACATGTCCTCCGTCCTCCACGCCCGACTCTGGCCACGGTCGCAGCCATCTCGACTCGATTTCCGTTCACCATCTCCATCCGCACGCCGCAGAAAACTTGCGCCATGCAGCGAGCCAACTACGGGCAGTCACCCCCTCTGCACCATCCCGTGCCCCAGCACGTATCGACGGTGCCGCAGCTTCGGTCACCTCCCCCTCCACCGGGCTCCGCGCAGTCGCAACAAGGCTACGGCGGCAATCCGTACCAGCAGCAAGGCGGCGGTACGGGCAACGTCTTTGGCGCCTATGGCCAGTTCATGAACGATCCGACGGCCCAGGTCGCCGCCCAGTTTGGCCAGACGGCTTTCAAGCACGGTCAAGAATATGTCGAGCAAAACGTGCGCCGTCACCTGCCCTTCCCTTGCGCATCCCTCAACGACGACTAACCAGCTCGCCAGATCGGTCGCTATGTCAACGTCTCGGCCCTCAAGCACTACTTCAACGTTTCCAACTCCTATGTCATCAATAAGCTCTTCGTCGTGCTCTTCCCTTGGCGACACAAGCCGTGGGCGCGAAAGCAGGGCACGGCAACCAATGGCCAGGAAGGCTGGTACCTACCGCCGCGCGACGACATCAACAGCCCCGACATGTATATCCCGGGTTAGTCTGTCTGGCCTGTCGCCTCTGTCCCTCTACTGATTCAAGTCTAGTCATGGCTATCGTAACCTTTATCCTCCTCTCGACTCTCATTGCCGGCCTTCGAGGCGATTTCCAGCCTGAGCTTCTCGGTTACACCGCAACAAAGGGATTCGTCGTTGTTGTTGTCGAAATTATCGCTCTGAAACTGGGATGCTACCTTCTTAGCATCTCAAGTCAATCTCAGCTTTTCGACTTGATTGCCTACTCTGGCTACAAGTTTGTTGGCATTATTACCACTATCGCTGTGGCCGAAATCGTCAACGGTGGCAAGGGGACTGGCGGTTGGGTTGGCTGGACCATTTTCCTGTACACTTTCCTTGCCAACTCCCTCTTCCTGGTACGCAACGATGTAGAGTGTTGGCAAAGCTTCACTAACAATGCTGCAGATGCGATCTTTGAAATATGTCCTGCTACCTGAAAACGCTGGCAGCAATGGTGCACCTATGCAAACCGACTCAAGAGCGAAGCGCAACCAGCGAACCCAATTCCTCTTCTTTTACTCATACATTGTGCAGTTTTTCTTCATGTGGGTGCTGACGCGAGCATAAAGCACAACTGAGGAACGGAGTCAATGGACGAGCTACGTGGCAGTAGCCATGACGGGACAAGAACCAACTCACTAAATAGCGTCAGATGAAGTGAACGATTCTCACATCCTCTTCCCTAGACACTAAATTAGAATAATATCTACGAGAAATGTAATGAAACAAGCGTGATTCATACTTATTCAATCAACGTGGATGTCAGGTCTTTATCACATCAACCCTACGGATACTGAGATGGCCAATACAACCGCAGGACACAGATGCTACGTCTCATCGGATATGAATCGGCAATCGATCTCAAAGGTGCCCCACATACACATACGATAGCCAGCACAAGTGCAGCATTTCTCAACCTTACACCCCCCTTATTCCACATCACCCAAATAATATCCTCCTAATCAAAGCTTTTCCTGCATACATAACTACCTTTGTTTCGAAATTTGCTTGAATTCTGACGTTGGCCTCATGCCTTCCCCAATTGTGGCGGCGACGATACAGTCGGCCGGTCTCGGAGTTCTCAGCAGCATTCTGGCACAGTGCATCACAGCGTACCGAGAAGAGGTACAGACCGTTGCCGAATTGAAGCACCTCGCGTGTTTGTTTCTAATTCCCAGTCTTCTAACATATTTTTTAGGGACCGTTCTCGGTTGACTGGATCCCGGTATTTCAGTACCTGCTCTTCATCATAGTCAATACGCCGCCCAACTTTTTATGGTTCGTCTGCCGCCAAGTCGCCTCCGTCGGCAAGCTGCGCCATTCGAAGCTTTCTAACACTTCATTTTACGTACGAACAGGCAAGAATTAATCGAGGCTGCTTTCCCCTCGCACCCGGAGCCTCAAGCTCGTCCCGAAAAGGCTGGTGGCGCGGGATCGCCGCCCCCCCTGTCCACTCGCAATACGGTCATCAAGTTCCTTCTGGACCAAACTGTCGGCGCCGCCGTCAACACACTGCTCTTCAGCAGCTTTACGCGTTCCCTCAGGATGGCCAGCGGGCATGCGCCGCGCGTCACCAGCGTGTCCAAGGCCGTCAGCTACTGGGTCAGCCCCGACGCCGTCGACTTCGCCCAAGTGGACTTTGGCGTGGTGTGGGCAGAGGCCAAGCGGGAGTTTTGGCCCCTGATCTTGGCGGGATACAAGCTTTGGCCGTTTGTGTCGCTCGTCAACTTTACGCTCATCAAGTCTGTGCAAGGGCGGAACTTGCTCGGCGCGCTGGCTGGGGTCGTCTGGGGCGTCTATATCTGTTTGGTTTCCGCAACATGAGTCCGTATCGTATGTGTTGCGTTGTTTGAGAGTTGTCTGTATGCCAATCCAGCCTTTGGGGTCATGCTGTGAGTGCTAGGGAAACCACATGAGTAGGCGTCAGGAATATGATTATGTTTAAGTTCCGCTAAATTCCTGGCTACTTATTTCGCTAAAGGGAGCACACTAATGAATACCAATGATGTAAGTATTATAACGAAGTTGTTAAAACAAATCAGCGCTCTTTTCACTCCGAAGTGTGGTTGGGTTTCTCTGTCATGCATGCACGCCCCGTACGTACTACGGCCAAGACTCCGGCAGCGGGACGAACTCGCTCAAGTCTAGCTCCTGGGCTACTCGTCTGCCAATGGTAGGCGCGTTATTCGAGCGATAGGATGGAGGATAGATCCACGAGTGAATTCAAAAGCTTCCGGTGATAGCACGTGGTGCACAACCGTTCCATCAGAACCGGTCGAATCATCATCCCCTTGGGCACCCGTAAACCATTCAGGATCGGGGGTTGATAAATCAAAATCCAAGGCAAAGAATAGTCCTTGGGCGATAGAATACCAGTGATCCAACCAAGCTCGCATCTCCCACATATAGTCTTGCGTGTTGTCCGGTCGCAGCATTTCACTGGCGAAATTGAAGATGGTCGCTGCCAACCATCTACACGGTTTAGGAAGATCGGGGATGGATTGAAGCCTGCACGACCAAAATCTCGCAGTTCTGTAAACGTTTCGGTCGTCGGCCGCCTCCCACTGATGGAGAGCGTCAAAGAAGCCCAACTGCCGTTCGTCGGAGATGCAGGGTTGGAGGGCCAGAGCGCCCTGAAATGTTCTGAATTGACATAGTTTCACGCCCAAGCTTGACCTGCTTGGTATTAATCTTCCGTCGATGGCAGTGTAGGTTGGGTCTGTATAGGGCAGTTCGGCGAAAACATTGTCGGCCAAATCTTGCGGGTACAGAAGATTAATCTCGAGCGGGGCCACTCGGACGCCGCCTTGGGGTTCTTGTCGAGAATCGCTAGAAGCTGGAAAGTCTGAGTAGATGTCTCTGTCCTCGGCCAAGATTCCTATCATGTCCGCAATGGCTTCCTCCACAACAGCGTTGCCGTTTGTCATGCGAGCGATGTTGTCTTCAGTGTGCTGCTAGACCGCTGCAGGTGATCTGTGGTAAAATATCACGGCACATTCGCCGCACAAGGGGTTGGCTGCTTTGTGTTTGAAGAATATTGCATGATATACTCTATGCAGAGGACAAAAATACTATGTGGTCCCGCGGTGTGAGCTTGCGCCATGGTCAACGTGTCGCCACTGGCCAGCAGGCAAGGAATAGCATCGTCCGCGGCAAGACATGATGAGATGATGAGAGAGAGTAAGATGGAATCTTGGTTTCGTTTTTGATAAGCAAAGTAAAACGTAGACTAACGATAGCGCAGTTTTGATAATGAGTGTAGATATGTGATGCATGCTCCAAGGTTGCATAAGTAGTAGTAAGAATGCGGAGATGATGGTCCGACCAAATATCCCATCCGCGTCACTACAGATCGCGCTCCAATGCTCCTGCCTTCCGACTCAGACCAACCCATACTTCCGCTGGTACCGATTTTTTTAGTGACGCCGACAAATTTCCCATAACAACAAATTTTCTTTCCAACCAAAACATAATAGCACCCCGCACCTGGCACTCCCTCCTCCTCGCCCGTATGAACACGAGCCCTGCGGTAGTAGAGAGCGCACTCAGGCAGCTTTTCGGTTTTTGCTGTAACTACGAATCGCGACAAGAGCGATTTTTTTTTCTGATATGTAGCTTTAGAGGCGGCGCGATTGGTCGGCAGAATCCCCCGGTATGCTTCATGGCTTCATGGATAATAGCGGGGTAAACGGAATTGTCGGAACATGGAATGAAAGCCGTGCCCCTCTCCCACCATAACTGACATCCGACTCAAGCCGCCGCCGCCGCCGTCTCCTACCAATACCTATCCCGTTTCCGAAAAAATCGTAGCTTGCAACATATACTTTTCCAGCCGCGTAATTTGTTTATATATATAAGCTAGAAGAGCTTCTGTTCCTCGTTGGAGTCTGCATCCTTTCCCAATTTTGCGCTGCAATCATACCAACAATCACACAATGGCCGACCATGTGCACCGCGTTACGCTGTTCAAGCTGCCCAAGCCTGAAGATGTCAACACATTGATTGAGCAGTACAAAGTCCTTGAGGCTACCCACCAAAAGGTCCGTTGTATATCAAAGAACATAGGCGGTGTCTCTTCTCTCTCGACAGACATGCTGATGAACACTCGACTTTAGAACGGCAAGCCATACTTAAAGTCCGTCGTCATTGGTAAACCCGAGGCCGACCCTCGAGCTCAAGGCTACACCTTGTGTGCCAAGACCGAATTTGCCAGCGCCGATGATATGAAGTATTACGACGAGGAATGTGAGGCCCACAAGACGCTCAAGGGGGTCGCCAAATCTCTCGCGCTGGAAGGCGCGATGAGCGTTTACTTCAAGCCTACCGTCTACCACCCTACCGTCGGCGCCGGATCCTCGCAATAGAGAGCTGAAACTGGCTGTATTTTTCAATTCAATGATTGATTATAAATATCTATATCCAACTTGGGAACTTGTCTCCTCGAATCATAGCGCTTCAATTGCCGTATATCGCCTGCCAATCTTTCCTCGACAGTCTCACACTTCCCACCAGCACCAGTCGTCGACGTGCACCCACACTCGACCGTACCTAGACATTCTGTCGAATCCTTGTGAGCTCGTCAAGCTCTGTGGTCGAATCGCTGTTTCTATTGGACGATAGCTTGTCTTGGGGCAAAGATGTCAAGATTTCCAGCGATGGGGGATGTCTTTCAAGAGTGAAAAGCGCGGCTATCACCATGACTGCACACACGACGATCATGACCCTCGTCTCTTCTGTAAAGGCACCAGAGTATACAGACCTCACAATTTCTTGCATAGCAGCCGGAAACTGCAGGCTTGCTACCGGTGATCGGTGGATTTGCGCGAGCTGCTCCGGCGAAAGCTGCGACCTCAACGACTCATTCACGTGGCCGTTGAATACCACGGTACAAACCGACAATCCAATGGCGCCCCCAAGTACCCTAGCTTGTGACACCGCTCCTTGAGCAGCCGCTCTAGTCTTTTGTTCGGGAGCTATCAAGTTTGTCATGATGGTCGCTGCCGAGAAACACAGCCCAACTCCTAGACCGAAAGTAACTTGGAATATATACTGTGTTGCTTTGACCTCTGGCGTAATGATGGACATGAGAGTTACTCCAAGAAGCTGAAGACAAGCGGCCGCAACAAGAGTATATGCAGTATTGTTCTTCTTGCTTGAGATAGCCCCGCCCAAGAAAGAGCCAGTGGCACATGCCCCGAGTAGAGGCAAGATATGAACACTCGCCATCAAAACTGACTGGCGGTCGACAATTTGATAGCTTTGGGGGAGGTTAACTGCCAAGGAAATATAAGGAAATCCTGTCAAAAGAGTGACACTGACAATCGTATACTGTCAGTATCAAACGATATGCATTTGGGGGTGGACTTTGAACCACTCACAGGAGTGCAGCAGAATACACTCGCCGCTGCATGAGCCTGATTGGAAAGATTGGCTCGATTCCATAATACGCGTTGCTTTCCAAAAGAATTTGCCAGAGAACAAACAAAATCCAACATGTTGCCGAGATCGTCAGGGTCGTGATGATCTCCGGGCTGCTCCAGGCATAAGTCTGTGATCCAGCCTGCTGAACGGCAAACACCAAAAGGCCGGAACTGAATAGCAGTGTGACGCCGCCAATAAAATCAATCGTTGTAAATGCTTCCCATGAAAGCATATTGGCAGCATTTTCCGGTGGCCAGAAATTCGTGATGGCCAGCATTGCAACTAGTCCAAAGGGGATGCTGTGGAATATCAGTGGCAATTCACAGGCGAGCAGCCTCTCTACTTACTTCATGTTGAAGAGCCACCTCCAGTCCGAAAACTGCACCACCACACCGCCAATAATCGGTCCCAGTACAAATGCAATAGTCAAGGTAGCTCCTACCATTGCCCCAATCAAACTCGGTCGATGCGAAGGGCCAACTTCGACCAGGCCAATCTGAGCCAGGCTGTAAAGCCCGGATGCTCCAATGCCTTGAAACCCACGACAAACTATTCTGTAATCAAGTTAGTAGAGATTTATCCTTTTCGCAGGGGTATTTTGTGCTGACAAGGCTACCATGCTCTTGGACGAGGCACACCCAAGAGAGAATGCCGTGAAGAGCACCCACGACAGCACGAGCACGTTTCTTCGTCCGTATATGTCGCTCAATTTTGAAATGACGACGGCAAATCCTTCAAAAAGCATTAGAAATGGTTTCATTTTTTCGGGTGTGATTTCTTTGTGTTGACATACCCATATATGTCAGGAGGTACGCCAGCACGACCCAAGGTGCATTTCCAAAATCCTGTAGTTCTCGCGAGATGGTAACTAATGAGGTGGAAGCGATGGATGTATCCAGGCTAGAGAATAGTAGCCCTGCCAGAAGACTGTGCCACAATCAGAATCACCTTCGTCGGTCGCGCAGGCTCTTGCGACCTACCATGTGACAAGGACGCACTGGCTAAGCCGGCTCGTGGCGTGCCTTGTAAGGACGGGTTCTTCCTTATTCGTCAAAGGCTGCTCGTCGCTTTTCCTTGTTTCAACTATTGCATTGTTGGTCAGGCAGAGGGATGGGTTCGGATATGTCAACGAGAGCCGGAAGGTGTTATCTATGGCGTTTGTCATGTTGGCGTGCGTGCAATTATAGATTGCTTCCAGCGGACAGTTGTTGTGTGCAATTCGGGAGGTCTAGATCGTTGATTATTGCTCTGGTGATATCGTGGGTCGAGTTGACGGTGTAGGTCCTCCGAATAAAAGAACATGGGTGATGGTGTTTGATGTGGGAGGAGCGCGAGTGGCTTTTTACCTAGTTTTCATCGGTCCTCGGATGTGCTTCCTGGCCGAGTTGATTCGGACGTCTCGCGCATTCTTTAGTCAAGTATATCAAGCCTACATCTGTGTTACTGGCTCTAGCCTTTCCAAACCTACGCCTCCCGTGTCCCCTCCGTGTCGCACGGTGGCGTGGGTAGTGGCAAAAGTCACCCCGACGGGCGAAATACGGACAGCAAGCATCGCCTGCAATTGATCTCTATCCTTTGCAAAGACGTTTCAGTAGTATAGACTTTTGTGCCCTAACAGTGAGAAGGTACGCTGGTCAATGCTATCCTCTGAATCTTGTAGCTCTTCATGAATTTGAATACTGTTGTCTACCACCCTCTTTTTATCCTGTCTTTCCTATTCCTCTATTTTCTTTCTCATCCTTTTTATTGGGAAAGGTTAGATGTTCCCGGTCAGCCCACTGTAGTAATATCCTGTGCATTGCGGTTTACTGTGGCTTGTATATGTGTACGCGGGCACAGCTTCAGGGGTGCAGTGCAGAAAAGCACACGGAGGATTCCACAGGAATGCGCTACCGTAGTATAAAACGTACCCTAGAATCTCACTGATCCATTCGAGGTTGAATTAAATAGCAATTGTATTTCGTTGATGATATCCCAGTCATTTGCGTCATGTCTAACACACCGATTCACTGGCTCGGATACCAGCCCCAAGATCCGACTCAGCGCGTACGGAGTGGAGGCCATGTCTTTCATATATAACTCTTCTACCAGATTATAGGCTTGGCTATAACTTCTCCCTATGCGTTTATTATATTCCTCTCGCAAACAATTACGGTTTTCAGCGTAGCTCGGTTGTTGTTTGGCTCGGGACTCAGGCTCATGTTGCATGTTACCGTGTTCCAGTTCCCGTCGCTTATTCATTACCAAGTGGCACCGCCAAGGCGAGGTGGATAGATCGCTTGCGGAAGACCTAGTGTGACGAAACTGTCGATCTGGAACCATACCAAAGACAATGAATCCATCCGTTCCTGAGTAGAAGGCACACCTCGGATCGTTCCACCTCCTGATTCGTCCCCCCTTCTCTGTGTATTACATTGTACTACTATGACCTGTTTGCACCGTTTCCCGTCCAGTTCACGGATGAGACAATGGCAGTCATCACCTCGAAATTGTTTGCATGCCCGTTGTACGCCTCGCGGGGCCTCACCCTCAGCTCCATTCAGTACTGGTACGAGCCTCTGGTGCGCTGAAGCACACAAGTCTTCTTCGCAGCAAAAACTCTGTGGGGGGGTTTTTTTTCCAATACATATATAGCACATAATAAAGATTTTTCTGCCGTTACTTACAACAATAGTTTTGTCCAACGTCTTGTGCGCTGGGGGTTGTTTGTTTGTCTTCCCGCAGCACTATGCAAGGTGTAGCATTCCCCAGCCATATGCACACCAGGCGGTTCCCCCGAACCGCCAGTCTCATTCACTTCTCAATCACGCGTCATCTGATTTTGTCATCCATCACATCTCACACCGTGCTCCACAGGGCAATATATGACCGGTGTGGCCGGAGGTGACCGGCCACGCAACGTGCAGCCGCTTTGATCAGGTTTCAAGTTCGGATTCGAGAGCTGAGAGAATACCCGTCTTTATCTTGTTTGCTCTTCAGTTTCAGTCATGTTAGCTCATAATGTACAGAACCAAAGTGACTCCAGAAAGTAGGCTTTCGTGTACGAGTTAACCGCCTCGGGGGAATGTTGCGAGAATGGAGGCCAAGTCGCGGGGCTGTTCTACTTGGACAGCTCGCCCGCAGGTTTGATGGTTCTGCAGAACATCGTTTTTGATGGGGCATCAGTTGTAGCTTGATGTCAATGCGTCTCTAAAATGACTATCGATGAGCGCAGAATGCCGCGTGGCCGAGATGACAGACAGGAGCTGTCAGTTCTATCCCCTTCTTGTTCTACGGCCCCTATTCTGCTGACTTTCTTCACACACATGATTCACCACAAACTATATCAAAATTGATAGAGGCATCTTGCGTGTCTTGGCTTGCAGTCTCAAACACACCAGACTACTCATAAGCAGCCCTCACGAAGGCGCTTCGAGCACATATCTGCAAGCGTGGCTGCATTGAGCGCAGCAACCAGCAACCCAAACGGGCAGTTTATGCAGACATAATACGCTCACCATCAAAAGTTCTGTGCTGATCACCCAATCAGCCGCTCGATCAACCAATTACTCTTGCAGGAGCTCCGCTCCCGGCTGAAGCTATATTTACTGCAGCCTCACAACCAAAGTCCCCCGGAGTAGACGAATGAAACCCTGAAAGAGAAGCGGCTGACGAATGCGTTTACTTCATTTTCCATAGTTTCTTTCTCATCTTCTGTCTTCTGGCTACGTTTTTACCCATCTTTGGTCTTCTGTTCGTTGTTGTGGTCCCAGGCATCATCATGGATGACATTGCCGTCATAGGTGTCGGGCTTCGATTTCCTGGTGATGCATCATCGCCAGAGTCGCTATGGAGCGTCCTAGAGCAGGGTGAATCGCAATGGTCCGAGATTCCCATGAACAGACTGAATATTGATGGTTATTATCATCCCAGTGGTGAACGCCAAGGATCTGTAAAGTAGATCCCTACTCTCCATTTGACTTCGCTAATACGCCGTCAGATATCATTCAGAGGAGCCCATTTCATCAGAGAAGACGTTGCGCGATTTGATGCACCAGTATGTATACATATACTCTACTAAGTCTTCTCGGCTAACTAGGTGCTTCAAGTTCTTCTCCGTCGCGGCTGCGGACGCAAAGGCCATTGACCCTCAGCAACGTCTGCTTCTAGAAGTCTGCTACGAAGCTCTTGAAAATGGTATGCGGCACATGATCAGCTGAAATGAATTTTACCAATAACGTTTTATGTTAGCTGGTTGCACAAAAGAAGCCATTGACGGCACCGATGTCTCTGTTTATGTTGGGTCTTTTGTCAAAGGTAGACTCCCCGTCGACACTACCATGATCAAATCCTAACTTAGATTTAGATTACGAGCAAATCTGCCTGCGCGACCCGGACTGGCAACCTCAGTATGCCGCAACTGGAAATGGCATTGCCATCATGTCAAACCGCATCTCTTATTACTTCAACCTTCACGGTCCAAGCATGACGATTGACACAGGCTGCAGCGGAAGCCTCGTGTCTGTTCATTTAGCTGCGCAGAGCTTGCGCTCTGGTGAATCATCTATGGTATGTATTTTCTGTCAAATTTTACCTGAAATGGTCCGCTTACTCTTCTAGGCTATTGCTGCCGGCGCTGGTTTGATCCTGACTCCAAACACAATCATGCCTATGACAGCACTTAATTTTCTAAGTCCAGATGGCAAGTGTTACACATTTGACTCTCGCGCAAATGGCTATGGACGAGGCGAGGGGATCGGTGTTGTAATCTTGAAGCGGCTTTCGGATGCTATTAGAGACAACGACACTATTCGGGCTGTGATTCGCGGCACCAATGTGAACCAAGATGGGCGAACTACCGGTGAGTTCACGATCAATACAAGGCACAGAAAGGTGTACTAATCGTGAGGAAGGCATTACTCTTCCCAGTAAAGAAGCACAGGTGGCAAATATTAAAGCCGTCTATATGGGTGCCGGGCTTTCTTTCTCTGACACTGCATACGTCGAGTGCCACGGAACAGGCACACAAGCTGGCGACTGGCGCGAGTTGAAGGCCATCTCCGAAACTCTCGGGGCATGCCGCACTTCTGAGAATCCTATATTCGTGGGATCCGTCAAGCCAAACATTGGGCACCTGGAAGGGGCTGCTGGCGTTGCCGGTTTAATTAAAGCCGTGCTCATGTTGGAGCGGGAGAGGATTCCCCCACATGTCAATTTTGAAACTCCAAATCCTGATATTGATTTCAAGGAATGGAAAGTACAGGTATTGTGCCTGGCCAAATACTTTTACCAGCCCATAGCTGACCCAGTCTCAGGTGTCCCGCGTTGCACAGGCCTGGCCGTCCAACTTGAAGAAACGAGTGAGCGTCAACTGCTTCGGTTTTGGGGGAACAAATGCCCATGTAAGTGCAATCTCTCAAAGAAACAATGACATGTATAAACAGCGACTAAAATATTCTTCAGGTCATCCTGGACGGAGCCGCCGAGTATCTTTCGACGAAACAGTGGGTTGCCCACCACAGCTCAGCAACATGCAAAGTCAATGGCTTGTCGCGGCAGAACGGATCACACCACTCAACCCAGAAAGAGCCGGATAACAGCTGGCAAGTTTTCTGCTTCTCTTCCAACGAGAGCTCCGGGATTAAGAGAATCGTGACTCGGCATGAATCCATGATTCGCGGCTCGCAAAATTTGGCAGCCGACTTCTTACCAAACTACGCTTACACAATGGGCTGCCGCCGCTCATGCCTTGAATGGAGAACATTCTTCGTCTCCAGTTCGATTTCGGATTTGGCTGACCAGATGAGCCATTCCAAGTACTCGGTAATACGGTCTTCTCCCCACGCATCGTCAAGACTTTGTTTCTTGTTTTGCGGCCAAGGGTCCCAGTGGGCGCGCATGGGCTTGGATTTGAAACCTTTTCCCGTCTTCTGGAACAGCATCAACTCTGCCAGTTGGTATCTCAGTACGATTTTGGAATCTCCTTTTGATCTCATGAAGGAACTGTCGATCGAGGCCGCAGAGTCTGCTCTCTCAAGCACTCATATCTCACAGCCAGCGACGACGGCGATTCAAATTGCAATTGTAGATTTGCTACATTCATTGGGCGTAGAGCCTGATTTCGTTGTCGGGCATTCATCGGGTGAGATTGCAGCTGCGTATGCGAGCGGCGCTATCTCTCGCGAGGATGCATGGGAGATAGCTTACTATCGTGGGCTCGCTGCATCTACATTGCGAACCAAGCTACCCGACTTTCGGGGGGGATGATCGTGGTTTCCATGAGCTTGAATGAGGCTACCTCTTACATCTGCACCTTTTTCGATCTCGAGATTGCCTGCGTCAACAGCCCGGGCTCTACTACGCTGTCCGGAGAACGGAAGATCATCGAGCACGCCTCCCAGGACCTTGCCGCCAAGAACATACGACATCGGGTCCTCTCAGTTGACATGGCATATCACTCGACTTATATGAAAAGTATTGAGGCCGAATACGTATACAATATCAGTTCCATCTCCCCATCAGTCAGTCGGAAAGCAGTGAGGATGTTTTCGTCCGTGTCTGGCAGCGAGCTACGATGCTCGAGTCTCGACGCTGGCTACTGGGGAAAGAATATGGTGTCCACTGTACAGTTTTCCTCAGCCATACAGTCTCTCATGGCTCTTCCAGAAGATCAGCAGCCATCAATTTTCATTGAGATGGGACCGTCAACAGTCTTGCGGACTCTGGTTTTAGATACGCTTGCGACCCGCGTAAAGCCTGAGCAATTTTGCAGCGCACTAGACAAACGTCATCCGGGGATGGCTTCTATTCTCGATATTGCGGGCAAACTATGGTCATCTGGCAAGAAGATTAAACTTCAGAGCGCTATTTCTCGTCGGTCTGCTCAGCAACGTCCCAAATGTCTCGCCAATTTACCATCCTATCCTTGGAATCATACCAAGTCGTACTGGCATGAATCCCATCTCAGTTTAGCCAACAGATTTCGTGAGTATGGTCGTTTGGACCTTATTGGAGCACCTACTCCTGATTCAGTATCTTTTGAGCCTCGCTGGCGCGGCTTCCTCAGGATTTCCGAAAATCCTTGGATTCAGGACCATCAGGTGCAGAAGACGGTCATTTACCCCGCTGCTGGCATGATATCCATGGTCCTTGAGGGAGCTAGGCAGTTGAAAAAAAACATCGGAGACTTGATAGGCTATGAGATACGGGATATGCGCTTCGAGAAAGCAATTGTTGTACCGACTACTACTCATGGTGTTGAGATCGCGCTGAATATGCGGGCAGAGCCTGATGCAGGAAATCAGCGTTGTCCACACGCCCACTACACGTTTTCGATCTATTCAAAGGCCCTTGAAAAGGGCTGGGAGAAGCATGCAACAGGACATTTGTACTTTTGCTCTCAGTCGCAGAATCTGGACGCTCGATTTGCGGCTTTCCGCGACCAGCAGGATGAAATCAGTGAGAGCTGCACGACGTCGGTAATTCCGAGACAACTATACGAGCACTTGGATAGTTCTGGAATCTCCTATGGTCCAATGTTTCGCAATATCATGGAGATTAAGAAAGGAACCGACCGTTGTATTGGCAAGATTCGTGTCCCTGACACTCGATCAAAAATGCCGGCCAACTTTGAACACCCGCATCTACTTCACCCCGCGACCTTGGATTCAATGTTCCAGACACTCTTTACCCTAGACTCAAGGCCCAAAATTCCTCATCTCGTTCAGAGCATATTCGTTTCCGACAGTGTCGACTTGAGCACCAGCCGGGAGTTCGTCGGCCATGCTACGGCCAAACGGCAGCGCAATGAGGCCGAGGCGCAGATCTGGATGTGCTGCACAGATAGGCCATTGGATCAGATAATCATAAAGGGGCTTTGCTTTAGCGGAGATCTCTTTATCTCTTCAGCTGGGCCCTCTTTTCTCCCCAACTACCGGAATTTGGCAACGGAAGTTGTATGGCGGGAAGACTCCGAGACTGCGAACTTCAAGTCCTTTAGGCACGCCATTTCACTTCTCTGTCACAAGTACCCCAAACTTTCAATTCTCCAAATTGGAGGTGGGTTTTTGCTTGCAAAATGTGCGTTATTGGCGGCTGCAGAAAATGCAGACCAGCCCGTGCGACTCGGAAGATATTCCTTCATCGATCAAAAGCAGCCCAACTTGGATTTCATCGACGTCAAAAAGACTCCATTCAGCAGTTACATAGAGCAACTACCAGATCTTGCCTCGGTTCAAACCAAATATGATCTCGTATTGGTCAATGGGCAAACCGATGAGGAACTCGCGCAGGCCCAGTACTTCCTCAAGCCCAGCGGGATGATACTCCAGTCAAATACAGCGGGTCTTCGGCTTGATAAACCAAGAGCAAGCAATCCTTGTTCGGAGTTCGAAATGGGCTGGAGCTTGAGCGAAGTCCAAGTCGAGTGGTGTAGGCGCACCGGGATGCCCTACACCGGCAAGGCGGATGACACCATGCCGCCCAGTATGTGCAAAGTTTCTGCTCGCAGCTCAGGGTTTTATATGCCACCTATTGTCGTGCTCCTTCTTCCCGATAGTATTGTTGAAGAGGTCTCACTCTTTGAGATTCACTTCCGGAAGCTTCTCGCAGTCAACAGTCCAACTACCAGTCTTGCTGCACTACAACTACAAGATGCAGTGCGCGATATCTCGGCCCATAATGGAGCGCTCTTTATCTCCCTTATCGACTTCTCTCCAGATACATCTCTGACGGGATTCATTTTCAAATGGAGCGAAGCAGACTTCAGGGCTTTCCACTTGCTTCAGAGCAAGGTAAACACAATTGTCTGGATCACGAGGGGAGCCAACATGATACCAACGGCCCCCCACGTTTCACCCATCATTGGTCTTGCTAGAACCCTCATGTCTGAAGATTTGCGAAAAACATTCGCTACCTTCGACTTGAGTCAAGAGTCATCGTTGTCGGAGCCGAGAATCCTTGACCTATTTGTCACCGTCTGCCGCGGCTTGATAGACCCTGCTCTTCGTGGTGACGCTCGTGAGGTGGACTTTGCAGAAAAAAACGGTGCTCTATTCATCCCTAGATTGGAGACCATGACTATCTTGAATGATATCATTGAGAGGGGCGATAGCTCCAGCAACATTGTGGAAAAGAGATTCCGAACTGAGGAAAGTGAAACCGGCAGCCAGGTCCTTCTCGAGTCCTTGCTTCATACGGATATCTCCCCATCGAGCCCTCTTCAGCATTCCCAATTTCAAGAAATTAATTTCGGTGAATTAGGCCCTCGAGATGTTGCCATCTCATTTGAGTCTGCTATTCTAAGCAGTGGTAGCAAAGGGATGCTGAGTCAAGGAGAAGGAGTTGGCAGATGGCAAAGTCACGAGGTTGTTGGCCATGTTTCTGCTACTGGAAGCGACGTCAATCATTACCAGAGGGGTGACAAGGTGACGGCTATACTTCCGAAAGGTAATGGTCTACGCAGCACGGCTTGCGTTGATTCTGCGCTGGTCATGCACCACAAGCCCGGTTTCACACCTAGTCGATTCTTATGTGCGTACTACGCGCTATTTGACGTCGGTAAACTATGTCGAGGCAAAGACGTGTTGATACATGCTGGCGCCAGTGGTTTCGGTCTTGCTGCCGTGGAACTTGCTCTTTTGTCCGGAGTCAAAGTACTCGTCACAGTTTTGGGGCCGCATACCGACAGGCAAAGGAATATTCTCAATCGACGTGGAATTGAACAGGATCACATCCTAGATGGAAACTCTGACAGCTACCCTTCTACTGTCAAGCTTCTCACGCAAGATAGAGGAGTCGACCTCGTGTACAATCCTACTCACAAGGACGTCCAGCTTTCGATCGCGTGCGTTCGGCGATGTAAGTTGAAGTGGCCGACGTATTGGACCCAAACTAACTGGCATAGATGGCACGGTCATTCATCTCGTCGATTCGTCGAAAGTTTCATCTTTTGTTAGCGCTCCTGGCATTCCTGTGACCATGGTTGGCTTTGATCTAGCCACGTTGCTCATCGACGACTTGGACCATGTCATTGAGATGGTTGATTCGATGAATGAACTCACTGCTAATACATCGTTTGAGTGGATGTCGGATTCTACGCTTCAGCAGAGATTCGACATCTCCCAATTGCAAGATGCAATGAAAGCCAACGATGGCTGTCCATACTTCGGCTCTGTTTCCATAACGTCGGAAATGGCTCAGGGAATTAGAATCCCGGTACAAGTACTGCAGAAAAAAATCTCCACGCCGCTGAAAGCATCCATATCCGAGGACGCCACCTACGCTCTAGTCGGCGGTCTAGGAGGGCTTGGAAAAAGCATTGCTAAGCTGCTGGTCGCCAATGGGGCAAAATATCTTGCATTTCTCAGCAGGTCCGGAGCAGCATCCTCTAGATCCGCACGATTCTTGCAAAACCTTTCTGAGCAAGGGGTGACTTGTAAAGCGTTCTCCATTGACATCTGCGACCAAGCTGCTCTCCAGGATCTTCTCCGGGCTGCCGTGACCGCGACCATGCCCCCAATTGTTGGCGTGTTTCACTGCGCAGCTGTTATCAAGGACGCTGTTTTTGAAAACATGACGTATGATAATTGGTCTTCAGCCTTCAACCCGAAAGCTTTGGGGGCAAGGAATCTTGTCGAGGCAGTGGAAGCAATCGGCCATGACCCTTTCTATGTCTTCCTATCAAGTTCAGCAGGCGTCATTGGCACCCGTGGACAGGCGAACTATGCAGCTGGCAATGCGTTCCTCGATGCTCTGGCCGGGAACTTACGAATTCGTGGAAGAAGGGCTATATCTCTTGGTTTAGGCCCGATTCTCGGGGCAGGCATGCTGGCGGAGGACGAAGTCCTCCTCGACATTTTGCGGGCCAGTGGCTTCTACGGCATTCGACATGACGATTTTCTCACCATAATCAAGCATGCTATAACCGGGGAGACAGTCACAGGCAGAAAATTACCGCCTCAAGTTGTTCTCGGTGTTGGCACCGGCGGATTGATCTTGCAGAACCAACCGGCGGACCCGTACTGGTCTCGAACAGCGTTGTATTCATACCTCGGCATCATCGACATGCCAGAACCGGACCTCAGTGTCCCTGCGCTCTCGGCCCTGCTAGGCATCAAAGCTGAATTGGCGAGCTGCAACGACGCTGAAATCGCCGCCAGTATTGTGTGTGCTGGTCTTTCGGGCATGCTCGCCAAGTCAATGAACATGACCGCTGAGGAAATCGACCCATCCCGACCCCCTAGCGTATATGGGGTCGATTCACTTGTTGCAGTTGGTGTTCGTAATTGGGTGTCCGGAAACTGCGGAGTAGACGTTTCCGTCTTCGAGATTCTGAGCGAGTTGACTGTTTTTGAGTTGTCCAGGTTGGTTGCGCAGAAGGGGAAGTTTGGGCTTCGTGCAAACAAGTCTTGTTAGTTAGATTATAATAGTTAGCAATCATATTGATTTGTGCAACTTGGGTTGGGTTTTCTACTGTGTTCGTCAGAACAATAAAAAAGTAATTTGTATTTACGTCAAATAAAATAATTCCATGTTGAGAAAGTAAAGGCTTCCTGACCGAAGCTGTAGCAAAAATGCGTGATCTGGGAATCGAACCCAGGGCTCCCCGACGTTGCTGATGGCAACGGAGAATTTTACCACTAAACCAATCACGCCTTCAAGCTATTTATACTGCAGCGGCCAGCTATTGAATTATATATTACTCCATCGGTGATGAAAATTTCACGGGATGCTTACTTATTACTAGAGTGAATGACAGGACGGAGCCTCGTCTGAGGCAGATTTAGGCTTTAGTGAGAGAACTGTCGGCTTCCGCCATATAATCACGACATTAACCCACAACTATCACTCTTTTTCGTACACTACTTGTCTTCCTTATAGCTCTAATTCCCTGACTTTTGAAGGTGTAGAATTCTGTTCTGGGTCCCATACAGCCTCGACGACACTCATGCGGCAGCCCTGCGCTCTGGTTACGCCCTGATTCAAGTCAGTGTTTATTCTGGAAGTGATTGCCGGCCAGTCGACTCACCTGGAATTTGAAACGAGGATCCGCGGCAGCAAATAAAGCCTTGAATTCAGCCTCATCGCGCTCCTGCGCATTCAACAGGGTGAGCATAATCATATCCATACCCCTCATCAGCTTCTCATCCCAAGGATTTTCTGCGCCAGGCTGCCGGAAGCAATGGTCATTGATTACAATTCGAGCGCCAGGTTTCAAGGACGGGATGAGCCTCTTGAGAATGCTGGTCGCATATGGCGTCGAATAGTTATGAATGATCCAACGGAAAAAGTATACTTTTGAACAGTGCATGTTAGCCAATTCAAGTCAAACTACGCTAGTGAGTTAACGATTCACTCACCGTCAGCTCCTTTGACTGGTTGCTCCTTGAAGAAATCATGGGCTTGAAGCGTTATTCTGCTGGCAACAGCGTCATCTTCCGAAATGGGGCTCGGCGCGCTTTCGACTGTTTTCGGTAAATCTTGGACGATGAATTTGATGTTCTTCCACTTCTTTGCCAGGTCCACGCAAACAAAGCCGTGGCTACCACCAATATCAACAAAGGTTCCGTTATTCTGATCAATGTCTGCAAGGTCGTAATTGTCAACAAAATGATGGACCTCATACCCCTCTCCTCCAGTCAGGCTGGCCATGGCTGCGCCCATTCTTTTTGCGGCTTTCGGGTTCTTTCCGAAAGTAACGAACATGGGTTCTTTGTTTACGGTGTCGAACGCAAAGTTGAAACCGGTTGTGGTCAAAGACGTTGCCTCAGGGTACGCTTGAAGAGACTTCAATACGTTGGCCGATGCCGGGAAAATGTCTTCCGAGTTGAAACCAATCCAATTTTGCAGGGCATCATCATCAGCGAGGCAGCGAGACAACGCAGTATGCGCAATAGTTCCTGGAGTTGGCTCGCAGAAAATGTGGTTTGTCATCGCATGGCGCATGATCCGAGCAAGGTTTATCGCGTCCAGTGAAGTCTTGGACTGTAGTTCGGCGAAAGATATGGTCCCCGTTGCAGGCACAAGAGCAGCTGCACGAAGTTAGACAATGTGCATTCCGTCGGTTGAAAGCGATGTAGACCTACCGATCCCGTAGTGATTGATGATCTGAAGAGTTAAAGAGTCCAAAAACTGCACTCTCATTTCAGTGTCCGTCGTATGAGTGGTAAAGGACTAGTCGACTTACACCCCAAACTCCCCATCTCACGCTCTCGCGTGGGCCACGGACTAGACTTGAAAGCTCATTGGCAGCGAAAATAATTTCACGGCGACTCTTCTGAATATCATCAGGAAGCTTTGGGAAATCTTGTGGGGCATCTGCGTCAAAGGACGGGGGTGCAAGTCCTTGACTCTTACAGTAGCTGTCAAGTTTGTTGGATTCCGTGCTGATAATTTTTGCAAGATGAATCAAGCGAGAGTCGACTAGCGTTTCCAATTTTGTCTCTGTTGCGACTTTGGATCCGATGTTCTGCTCTTCGGTGCCCAGGTGATTCTCAATCTCCCGCTTAGGTTTGAGTTGTGTTATTCCGGAGAATGATCGCCGGTTGAGTTTCTTTTCCTCCGTCGTAGCTGGCCGTGATGATCCAGCGCTTGAGCCCTGGATCCAGGACTTGAACTTGCCCATTCCCAATTTATACAGGAAATTAGATATATTGTTCAGGGGGAGACGGATCTAAGACTGTCGCAAGTTAGCAGTGCAGGCAGCAATATGGGAGTCAATTGCAACGCGGGTATTGATAAGGCCTTGGTTGACGAGCTGGCAATGACAGAAACGAAGTGAAAGTAGAGGATCAGGGCAGCTGCCACCAGGCCAGCAGGGAGGGTGGGCATTATGCACATAAGTGGCGTGCGGCATGGTTCCGTCGCATAGAATTGCAATCGAAGAGGCGCCCAAGCTTTGAGTTCTCGATTATCCTTGGTTTCCCTGTCGACAGACAGACGGGATAATTAGATGGCGCTTGCGGTGCACTCAGCAGCCGAGCCCTCCTGAATCGCCAGCGAGTAAGCACTGCATAATAGCAAGCTTCTGCTTCATGTGCATGGACGCCAGACTGTGCTCGTCGAAAGTGCTGTATAATTGCAGTACACCGATCTGCAAGAGGAAGGCAACCCAGACGTCGTGCAGCGCAGTGGCGGGGCCTAGCGAAAGAGGAAGGGTATATGGGCGTGAAGGGAGGGTGGGTGGCTTCATTTATTATGAGACGACGAGGGCCTACATTTTGCTACTACCAGCGCGTGCAGGTAGATGAAGCTTTGAGCTGGAATTGCGAGATGGCAGTCAAGCAAGTGATGCGGAAGATGCTCATAAAAAGCCTCGGAGGGGTGCGTGCTCGGACGTGAGGAAGCAGGACTCGGTCGCCGGCCACGTCTTGGTTTAGGGTTCAACCAAGGCAAGGCAGCAATCGGGAAGGGTAACGTCGTGTGTCGGCGATCTAGAGTATGGGAAATGCACCTTCTTCAGCCATATTATTATATTTGATGTGGCATAGTGGGTTTGCCGTACCAGGACGCCGGCAGGTAGCCAAAGCGACGGCTCAGGAGCAACTGCTGCATCCCAAGTGGCGCCAGCGCTCGCACCCGAGGCAGCGGGACAAGAAATGAACGCGAAGTGCTTATACAAGCACAAGTATATGAAGAGTGGCAGCTAGCTATACTTAGCGTCGTGTACGTAGTAACAATAGTGTTGTTCTCTGCTGGTGTAGATATAGGCAAATCCAGTTTTCTTTTTTAACTAGTTCGGTAGAGACGTGTCGCGTCTAGAAGAGCCACGGAGCCACTAAAAAGGCCGTCAAGCTGGCTCAGGTTGGCTGGCAATAGCTCCCAATACACCCTATTAATAATGATAATGCTGAACGTGATCCCCACCGCGTACGGAGTAAGGGCCGCCGTAATGCACACCAACCCTGTCGGATTGTCCTTCTTGCAAGGCTCACGTGCAGTAAAGGCAGAGTAAAGGGAGAGGCTGGCTGGCTTGTAGCCCAAAGCAGCTGCTCACCAACCAGTATCAGTGTCGGTAGCAGGCTGTAGGTTTCCCGGTTCTCCTGGGCATATGTAAGTACATAGATGCATGTTCCAGGGTCTCAGCGAAAACCGAACAGGCTGGCTCTTCAACAAATAGGCCAAACGACCACATGGGTCAATTATGACAGGTCAGATAGTCAGACAGCCAAGTCCACACTTCCACACTCCCAACCCCCGCGCGCGGCCCCGGCAGTTTCTGTCCCAATGGCGTGGGCGCTTTCGCGATTGGATACATGTGCGTGCCTTCTGGTGATTGGTGCAGAATGAGCCCTGCCACATTGCATCAGTATACGGATACATACACTCTATACAGCTACAGATTAATCCCTGAAAGATCGTGCATGACATGTTGCGGCGCACCACAAAGAGAATGAGTAACGGAGTTACCTGGGTGGGATGAATCGCACTAATGATATACTCGAAATTTTTATACAACTGGAGAGCTCAGTACAGACTTGTACATGTGCTGTCGAGCTATAAAGACGTGAGAAATGAGGTACCTAGACTCCATACATCGTTTTATGAAAACTGGGGCAAGTGCAATGTACGATCTTTCAGGGATTTGCTGGATTACATCCAAGTCATCCTGGAAACCGGGTTCGCAGCGTTCCGCGCATTTAGCGCTTTATTAACATTGGTAGCGTCGGAAAATACCCGTTCTCAACTTTTACCATCCCTAACTTGCATGAGCTCCCCACGGCCGCCTCCCCTCTCTAGCTTTCTTGCTACTGGTACTTCGTAATACCTTGTCAATGCCAATATTCTAGCCAGCTTCACACGAACCATGAATCAGCATCGAAACCATGCTTCTTTCGCTGCCTGCAGTCTTTGCACCTGTTCCTCTCGCATTCAGTAATACCAACGAATAAAGGTAATCGGATCACAATGATACTGTTGATATCAAAGAAAAGAAGAAAAAAGAAAAGAAAGTCCAAAAAATCAAGAACCGGCATCCAACATCCTGTACACCTCCGTAGTAGTCGCAGCATTCCGTGATTGCTCTCGTGGCCGAAGCAACATATTAATCATCCGCATCGTAAATGCTTCTAAACATGTTGTCCAGGCTCCCGCGCGCAACATCTCCCAATGCCCTATATACACAAAAAATACAGCGTGGTCCTTGTAGTCCGCAAGTTCTATTCAATAACCAGCCGAGCTCGATGCACTTTAGCTGCTCCACGATAGCCTCCCCGTTATAGCGTCTCCGTAAAAGCTTTACCCCATATTCTCCGGTTTTTGCGCGTATATGATGTGAAGAGGCATGTACATGAGCGCGGCATTGTCATGATATGCTGTCCGAACGCCAGTGAGAAAAACTTCCACCTCTTCGCGATTCCAGTTCAATCCCCGTACCATTGGCCCAAGCGCGATCGCCTGCAAGCCATCTAGAAGAATTGTGCGCCAATATAGTCCCACAGTTTTGAGGACTTTGTTCTTTGGCCAGGTTCCAACTGGTACATGGAAGACGCGCTCCGTAACATTTACGTAGCCGGCTTCTTGCAGCATCTTGGTCAACTGGCCGCCCGAGGAAATATTGAGGTCTACGCCTAGTTTTCCCAATCCTGCACTAACGTGAGACCAGAACTCAGCAACCGGGTGGGTTTCCGGTAAGTCTGCATCAGGGTTGGCACTTCGAGGCGAATGGTGAATCTCTTGCAGTTCTATCCAGCCGCCGGGTTTTAGATGCCTAGAATCAAACCATCAGCAAAATGAAAACGGATAGGTCCATGGCAGAACGCTCACTCTAATGCCCGCCTGAAGAGACGCATCCAGTCTTTCAAGGCCATGACGGTGTGTCTGGAGTGAATGTAGTCGAAGTGATTGCGGGGGTGTAGCCAGGGAGACTCGGCATCGTCAACGATGAATCTAACGTTAGGCGGTAGCCAATCAGGCTGGATTGGGGAAAGATCTATTCCGAGAACACTGGCGCTTGGAAATTGATCGCCCACTAAACAACATGGCCGATGTCAGCTTCGAGCGCTGCGTCTCCCAGGAATGAGTCGACTCACTTTCGATGACCCAGATGCCTGTTCCGGTGCCAATGTCTAGAATCTGCTGCGGATTGTCGCCAATAGGCGCAAAGAACAGTTTCTGACCGCAGAGAAGCTTCACCATCGCATGTTTCATGTCCTCTCTTTCTTGCTCCACGTCATCATTGGGGAAGTTGTAGGCTCCTTCACGGAAGCGATGGTAACGGCGACCATTTTCAAACATGTAGTCCCGAACCGATGATTCTGCAGAAGTACTGCCAGAGCTGAACCCTTCGCTTGCGTACCCTCCGTCAGACGCATCGTCCCGGAAGCCCTCTGATGCATCTTCAGCAACAATCGACTCCTCCGCCTGTGTAAAAGCCTCCCACGACATCTGCTCTTGCTCTGTTGCAGAGAGTGACGGAAACATGTTCATGCCATTTGGATGGGTCAGCGGAGACACCAACAGCGATTCCGTTCCGCCGCCAGTCTGCGACCATTCAGTCTCAGACACTGTGTCTGCGATAGCTGTTGTATTGCTCTCTGGTGCTGCATCTTGATTCAAGTCTGCATTTTTGCCTTTCTCTGGCACTTCAGGGTGTTGTCGTGTGTCACCGGATTCCTTGAGTGTTTGATGGCCAGCAGCGGTAGGATCAGCGTGGTCGGTAGCTTGAACACTTTCGACATTCGATGCATTTCTCAATGATATCTGCTCTGCGTCTTTGGTGGTGCTTTGCGCTATCTTACTGGCGCCGTGATTTGTTGTAGATTGATCCTCGGTCTTGTGCTCGGGGGATACGGTGGTAGTGCCCAGTGTAGGCGATCGACGGCTTTGGCTTTCAGCATTGCTATTGTCTTTGGCAGAATCCTTTGATGTCTGTTTCGATAAATCGACTTGTTGTATGTCATTGTTCGAAGCCATTGTCGTCAAGGATGCTATTGCAGCTGGTCGTTCCTGGCTACCGTATATTCTAGGCCATACACTGGACGGTGCGTGTGGTGACCGTCGTCTCGTCACAGTATCTGACTGTAGAAAAAGAATAATTTATTTGCATGGGCACCGGCGCCGCATCGCCTTCTGATTTGTCCTTGATTGTGGTGACGCAGCTATCGCGAAGCCTAGACTCCGTGGCAGGCCAGTACTATCGAAGACGGGAATGTAAAGACCAATCGGGCGGGCGCAACGGCTTTGTAGAGGAAATTCGAAAGCGCACACGTGCCCCAATACTGTGCAGTGCTGTCGTCAGAAATATGGCTTCTCTCGAGTCAACAGAAGCAGGAGAGTCGTTAGGGATAAATGGAAGAAGGGCTCGCGGCTTGTGTGAGGAATGTGGTCGGACATGTCAAGAGACGCTGCTCCATTCTCCCGAGAAGGTGAGCCTTGGAGTCTCGGCGCTGGTGGATCCTGCCGCGAGCCCCACCAACGCACCAAAATACACAGACTCTGTGCGTCACGACAAATACATCAGTACCGTTGACGGTACCAACGTTATTAGGTCAGTTTAGGATGCTTCATAGGTAGTTTACGAATATCTCCGGTTTCTCGTCGCATGTGTAGAATTCAATTGCAGTCCAGTAAGTCCATCATTGGTCGGATTTCGGTACCTACATGGGAAGTGCGTGCGCTAACCTACAGTCGGTCACCACTTCCAATTTCCCGCCAATGCTTATATAATTTAAGTCAAGATAATAAGTATATAGAGCAATAATAAATTATAAAAAATACTACTTAATAAATAGCTAATAAGTATAATAGTATTTATTTTACTTTTTTATTATTTATACCTACCTATATTAATAAGGTCTTAGATAAGTCTTATATTATTTAATTGTTAAGGACTAGCCCTAGGGTATCTGTAGATAGGCGTTATAATAGTATTAACTCTCTTATAGAGTAAGAGAGGAGGAAAAGCTAGTCTATCTATCTACTATAGCATATAAAGAGGGCGTGCTAAGGGCGTACCTATAGTAGCCTTAGGCCAAGCCTAGCCTAGAGTAAGCTTAAGCCTAACTCCTTTATATTTATTTATTTATTAAATTACCCTAATTAAACCTTATAGTTCTTCTAGTACCTTAATAAACTTATAAATACTAGAAAAACTATAGTAGCGGACTTATACTAGTACCTTACTATACTAGGTATAGACCTAGGGCTACCTAGGTAAAAACTAGCCTCTCCTATATACTAATTTACTATTATATAATAATTCTTAATAGGTTTAATAGTATTTAGTATTTCTTAGTAAGTAGGTTCTTAGGCTATTACTTTAATCTATATTTTTCTATATCTTCTATTAATTATTAACTATTTAAATATATTAATTTTACTTACCTCTATATATATATCTAAATAGTAGAATAGTTCTTTACTATTAGTACCTTTTATAAGGTTATATACTATAGTATTTATATAGTTTTTAGCCTTATTTTATATATTAAAAAGTTAAATAGTATAGTAGTTAATATATACCTTTAACTTTTTACCCTAGACCTACTCTATAGTTACCTTACCTATATTCCCTTATAAGTTAGTTATAAAGCTAGGCTATACTATTTAACTTTTAGAAAAATTATTTAGGGTACTTCTAGCTAGATTTAAACTAGTAATCTATATACTAACCTATATAGAACTCTATACTATAGAACTACTATACTATAGAGGTAACTTCTTTATATTAATATATAATTTTCTTATTATAATTAGGATATATATACCTAAAAAAGAACTAATAAAAACCCCTAAACCTAATATACTAAACTATCTCTATATATAATAAGTATATAAGTACTAATAAAAGTAAAGGGGTTTTTAAGATAAATAATAAGTATATTAATATTAAGGACTAGCCCTAGGGTATCTATAGATAGGCATTATAATAGTATTAACTCTCTTATAGAGTAAGAAAGGAGGAAAAGCTAGTCTATCTATCTACTATAATATATAAAGGGGGTATACTAAGGGTATGCCTATAGTGGCTTTAGGCTAAGTCTAGCTAAAATAGGCTTAAGCCTAACTCCTTTATATACCCCCTCTCTCTAGTAGCGCCCTAGTTATATTAGCTATAATTACCTAAGCTAATATAGGCTTACTATACCTTACTTACTTAAGCTAGTATATATTTAATATATACCCTATACCTATATTAGATTATTACTTAAGGTCTATACTCTTATAGCCTATATATATATTACTAAAGAATATTCTTATAGTAACCTTAGTTTACTTACTTTTTATTATAGCCTTTATACTTAGGAATTTCTTTTAAGTAGTCTATATATTATAATTACCCTTATTCTAGGTATAGCTATCTAGGTAGCTAGTATTTACTAGCCCTACTTTTACTTTACTTATAGCTAGTTATATTATATTTAACTTTCTAGTATTATTAGTTATTACTTAGGTATAGTAAATTATCTTTTTATTATTACTAAGTAAGGTATATTATATATATACTATATTATTAATATATTTAAAGTAAGGGGTATTTCCTAGCCTAGTTAGCCTTCTTTTCTATAGATAAATCCCTTACTCCTTTCCTTAACTTACTTTATTCTTTTACTTTTTATAACCTTTAATTAACTTTATACTCTTAAAATACTCCTTTTTAAACTATAAATAATTTTATAATAATATATAAATATAATAATAATAACCTATAATATTAGCTACTATTACTATACTACCCTTATTACTACTACCTAATAATAATAGAAGCCTAGAAGGGTATAAGAAGGGCTATTAAATAATTTATAGCTATACTCTATAAGGTAATTCTAATAATAAAGAGTACTAATCTAATAATAAGCTAGACTTCCTATATATTATATATTTTCTATATTTATACTAAATAATAGTATTAAATTATATTATAAATACTAATAGTAAGTATACTACCTATACTATAAGCTACTAGTCCTATATTTAGGAGCCTATTCTATTTATAAATAGTTCTAACCTATATTAGTATATATATACTTTAGTAATACTTATTAATAATAATAAGGCTATTATAATACTAGTAACTAGTACTATATATACTAAGAGGTATAAATATATAGTTCTAATAGCTATATAAATATATACTTAAGACTATTTTATTAGTACTCTAGCTAATACCTATATAAACCTAACTAGTACCCTACCCCTACCTAGCACCCTAGGTACTATACTAGTTATTACTCTAATTACTAATACTATAATAGTAATAATACTTTAAAGCTATTATACTAGTAGTAGCTTTAATAGCCTTACTTATATAGTATTAGGTTAAATTAACTAAAACTTTATTATACTTATAGTAAGTATATATACTTTCTTTCTAGTTTATTACTTATATCTTAATAAGGAATAATATAAGCCTAGGCTATATACTAAAAGGCTATTAATAATACTATCTTAGTAATATTATAGTACCTAACTACCCTTTTAATACCTAGCTATTAAGCTATTAAGTACTATAACTTAGATTATAGCTACTTCTTATACTACTAGTCTAGTAGTTATTATTACTATTATTATAGTAACTTATACTATTTTTATTTATACTATTATTACTCTTACTTCTATTTATACTTATACTATTACTATTCCCCTTCCTATTATTACTCTCCCTTACCTAATAATTACTTAATATTACCTATTTAGATATACCTACCCCCTTCTTTACTACTACCTTATAACCTAGCTAGTAGTAATACTACTCCTACCTCTTTTAATCTAGTAGCTATTATTAAAGATATTAATAATAGTAATAAAGAGCTTTAAGAATTTATATTATAAGTATAGATATATTATACTATCTTTTTTTTTCTTTACTTTATTATTATATAATTATACTTTTAAAATAATATAGTATTAGTATACCCTTAGTCTTATATTTTTATATCTTTTCTTTTTTTTTTTCTTTTTTTTTTTTACTATACCTAGCTAGTATACTATAGCCTTAATATAGTACTAATATATTTATAATTTATATTTTTAATATTACTTCTTTACCTTTATAATATAGTAGTTCTATAGTATAGAGTTCTATATAGGTTAGTATATAGATTATTAGTTTAAATCTAGCTAGAGGTACCTTAAATAATTTTTTTAAAAGTTAAGTAATATAGCTTAGCCTTATAACTAATTTATAAGGGAATATAGGTAAGGTAACTATAGAGTAAGTCTAAAGTAAAAAGTTAAAAGTATATACTAACTACTATACTACTTAGCTCTTTAATATATAGAATAAGGCTAAAAACTATATAAATATTATAGTATATAACCTTATAAAAGGTATTAATAGTAAAAGACTATTTTACTACTTAGATATATATATAAAGGTAAGTAAAATTAATATACCTAGATAATTAATAATTAATAAAAAATATAAAAGGATATAGATTAAAGTAATAGCCTAAGAACTATATATAATATTATATACCTAGAATTAGTATATACTTATAGTAAGCCTATAATATTAATAAAATTAATAAAAAGTAGGTAAGTAGTAAAATAATATTAGGCCTAGCTTAGAAATAATACTAGATAAAAGCTATACTATAGTTAAGGTAGGTAGTAGTAAAAAGACTACTAAAGATATATCTAAATATATTAAGACTAATAAGACTTAACTAACTAAACCTAAGGTAATACCTACTTAAAAGAAACCTAAAACCTAATTAACTATTATAAAAAAGCTCCTCTTTTTAGTAAATAAAGATAATAAGCCTTAGGTAGAAGCCCTCTTAGAATAGTTATAAGTATATACTAGCCTTAAGCTAGGACTACCTATAACTACTAAAGTAATTTAGAATATTATAAAGGAGATAATTATATAGCTAGGCTTTATATTAAAAAAGACCTATATAGATATAGTATAAAGAAGAACCTAAAAAGATACTTAGGTAAAGCTAGTCTTAGCCTAATATAATAGGGAA